ACACATGCACACACGTACACACACATGCATACACTCTCACACAGATTGTATTTCTTTTCATGTTACAACTTTAAATGGTGTAACAAGGAGACATTTCCACCAAATAACTAGCCTGAACATTCTTTCTCTCTGAATTCTCAAAGTACTTCACACTTCAGTTCAGCTATTAAGTCCACTGTTTTATTCTGCTCATTATGTTTATGATGTGATGAATGTGTGCATCTTCATACTTTGTATTTTGTCCTACTTCCCTGTCGTTCTGTCATTAAGTCTCTCTTCATCTCCCTGAATCCCATCCCTCCTCATTTTAAAACGTCTGTTGTGTGAAAGTATCATTTTAATTAGCTCATCTAGGTAAGTGAAGTATTCATGGACAATGAGAATAACAAGTTTGCAGAAATGTAATCACAAGGTTTAAATATGATACTTTTTTACAGAAGGATCTGAAATGACATGGAGCCAAGACTAATATGACAGAAATGGATAGTGAGTCAGCACAAGAAGCAGGCAGTGTCCTGAAAAGGCTTTTCCCTTCCTAACAGGAACAGGCTGTTTACTGTCAAAATGATTGATCAGTACACATTAGACTGGACTGCACGTTTCTCATCATTACCCCTCAAAATAGGCTATCCACATTAATGGGACCCAAATAAATCAGTTTTAAAACAAATGGGCAAACAAATGGGCTGAGAATGTTTAAAGCCTCATAATAAAAAAATCTTAAATTAAAGCAAAAATATAACTAATTATTATGACTGTTAACAAGACTATTTAACAAGCAATTAAGTCTCCTTTCTTTCACTGACCTACTTTTTACTTTTATACTCAAGTATCTGGTAGGATTTACCCTCCACCTGTGAAGGCTTCACATGGCTAGCCATTTATCTGACTGACAGAAAAGAAACGTGAAGATAACAGTGAGTAATGTTTTGTCCATGCACATTTAAGCCTAGAGTCTATTTGGCAAGCTTAGTCTGGTAAGTCTTATGAAAAAAAAAGTTCTCTCTCTGACTTTGCCTAAGATGGAAATGTGTTTTTAGCCATTGTGGAAAGCATGGAATAGATTATTATGTGAGATACACTTTTGCTTCAGCTCCATGCTTATCTGAATTACAGTATACTTGAATGTCAACCTACCTCTTTCAGCTTTTGGTACATTTTTCTTTGAAGAAAAAGTGAGTGCCTCAGATTTGCTGCATTAATCAATTTGTTTTCGTGACACACATATTGACAACTCTCAGTATGTGCTCCCTCGCCAACTGCCCTCATCAGTGGTTTGAGGAAATGAGATTTTGGATGAGCAATAACTGGGTTACCTTCTGTTCAGTAAGCCTTTTCACTACATTCTTCCCAGTGTGCTGTGTATAAGAGAGGATTATTCTATTACAGATCTAAGAGAGATGGAAGGAAAGAGGGGGTGAGAATAACAAAATGCTTGAAGTTGTCTGTCTCTTGGTTCCGGCCCAAAACCCACGAGGGTTCTGTTCTGTGGAGCATGAGAATGTAGGTCAGGAACACAGAAAGTGAGTGTGTTCTCAGACAGCACCAGACAAATCTGGAAGGACAAGACACACAGGTTATTGACACAGAGCAGACTGATAACATCCAGCACAGATAGCACAGATATGGCTAACACTGCGATGCTAATTTTCCAGGATATCATATATGTAAATGCATGTAAGATGGTGCTATCTTATCATCTTGTTTATTCTAGCACTAGCTCTGAGCTGTTATTAATCGCCCTAAATCACATTATCATTTTTTTGTGCCATATCCCCTTATCTGGTAAACAAACTTCTGAAGTGTGGTATGTGTGCAGTGCTTGTTCATGAGGGCTTGTGTGGGTGTGTGTGTGTGGTGGAGGAAACAGAATAAGCCCCCATCCACTTTGACTGTTTAATCCGTCTTGCCCCTCAGCCCTCACTGTCACTGCAGATGCCTATCAAAGACACAAACCCCTCAGCTCGAGTCTTACTCGTTTTGCTTGCCCACTCACAGTGAGCATGATGGTGTTGTGGACTTAAGAAATAAGTCCACTGGCAAATATATATCCACTGATGTTTTAAATATAATATTTTCTTTATTTTGAATCTCATAAACATATTTATATCCTTATAAATATTTATAAACATATCTATCTGTCTGTCTGTGTGCATATATATATATATATATATATATATTATATATATATATATATATATGGGAGACCAGGGACAAGTCTCCACTACTTTTTAAAATTCCTGATTTTGTCCCTACCACTTTATGAAAGTGTAGTCTATTTAAAGTTGCTCAAGACAGAAACATGTCCAAATACTTTCTGGAAACATCAATAAAACCATGCAGAAGAGTATCTTTGGCCACTGATAATAGGCAATGTACTGAGAAAAAATAAGAACAGTTATGTTGTCGCACGTGGAAAGATACTGGAGATAATAGCTAAATGCTAGTAGTAAAATATTTTTCTTTCTGACCAGAGTTGAGTGTGGGTGAGTTAAACTTGATAACAAGGCAAGGCAAGGCAAGCTTATTTATATAGCACCTTTCATACACTGCTGTCATTCAAAGTGCTTTACAAATGAGAAAATACAGAGTTGTTTAAAAAAAGTAAAGTAAAGTGGAATAGAAATGAAAAGCATGAATAAAACATGATTAAAACAATAGAGAAATAAAAGAGAAAATCAGTAAATTAAAAATCAAGTTATAAATTAAATTAGGATAGTTAAAAATTAAATTGAAAATAAAAAGTTACCTTAGGATAAAAAAGTGCTATTAGAGGTATTATTAACTCGTTTATCACATTTCATAAAATGCAATACCTGTCTTCATCCTTTAAACTGTTTTTTTTCTTCAATAACATTGATGAAATATATTTCATAGAAAATGTGCCTGATTTACAAAGCTGGAACCAAACTGGATTTTTCATCTTTACAGCTGAGCAAACAAGTCAACATTTATAGAAGTATTTGTATTGTATTTAAATGCTATTTTTCATTGTGACAAATATACACAATATTTTTACCAAGAAAGCTATGGTTATGCTGTCTAGCTGCTCTTTATGAATCACTTTCACAGCAGGAGGTTCTTACCCCTCCCCTTTCACTCCTCATTGCTCACTAACAGCTCAACACAGAGTTACAACATTTCACACACAGAAAGCCAACAGTGTCTTATTAATCTGATAACAGAGTTACAGGGAAAAATTTTTTTTTGGGGTGTATTATTTGAAAATATCTGACCTTGCAGAATGGCCACTAGGCGACCTGCAGATAAAGGCTACAACAAAGGTGAGTATTCAACATGATGTGGGATAAGCTTTCGCTTAATGACTGGAAACAACACAATTAACAGCTAGCTACATTATAAGGCCTCATCTCTGTCCCCAGCACCTTTCAAAACAGAGTTTATTCCCATGGCTGCCATTCATTCAATGTCCGAGTAAGACTGTAAGTCAAAGCTGAACAACTTCACGACTGCATTCAGCCTAGGCTTTCTTTTGAGTCTTTTTTCAGGCACACTAAAATGAATAAGATACACAGAACAGCAGGTTACATAAGCATAAATAGTGGTGGCCTTCCAGCTGCCTGCTGAGGACATGTTGTTCTTTTAATTGGAGAATGTTTTTTTTTTGTCTAGTGCACATGAGAGACTGGGTAACTGTCCAGAAACACAGGGAGAGATCAGAGCAATATTGTGTTATTTGACATTTAACAGCAGAGACATAAGCTATACAGTATGTACAGAATCAGAATGTTCTAAAAAAGGGTACAGCAGGAACGTGTGGGTCAAAACGTAGGTTCGGTCAGGCTGGTGTGTGACAAAGTATTGCTGTATTCGGGTGAGGAATGGGAGGAGCCATCCACAGGACATTCTGGCTAAAAAACAGAACATCAGGTTTGTTTTTCCAACAATGTCGAGACATCATGTTTCATCACCAAGGCAACAGTATAAAAAGTAGGTTGCAGGGATAACATCAGAACAGAGAGGTGAGCGGATGAACTGGAGCAGCTTCATAATATCAACATATTTCTGCTTTCTACTTACATAAACTCAGATAAATGTGTCACTGGTAGTTTATATTTACTTGACTGGTAACATATAGCTGTGTCTACCTAAAGCCTTCAGGCTGATTCAAATCAGTGGTGATTAAATGCTGTGGATCATTTTCACGCTTAACATAAACACAAGAGCAAAGCTACAAATAACAAGCATATGCAGACATTTGTCACAGCACAGTGGTCTCTTCAGTTGGCTTCAAAAGCATGTTTTTCTGTACTGTAACTGGATCAGAAGGCATGTCAGATTGACTCTATTTTTAGCTCACATCCACACCAGCCAAATGAAGAACAGATCAGTCCCTGAGTGAAGAGTCCAGCAAAGGCCTGTTGAAATCTGTTTTCAAACTAAGGATGAAGCCCAGTGTAAACACAGGCTAGTTATCCTGAGACAGGCTGACCAGTGGTCTCTAGAGCCATGATAGCTTTCTACGCAAGGACACAGTCATGAACCCAAGAGGCTACATTGCGTAAGAGGTAAAACATCTACACTGTGTGATGTGTAATTTATGTGAAAATTGAAGCAACAACTTTATAATGCTAGCTGTTGGAACAAAACTTTAGATCCCAGAAATGGTAAAACGTTACCATAACGTAATTAGCTTTAAATGTACATTAAAGTAATAAGCTTTAAGTCACGTTGGACCATTTTTGTTTTGGTCCATTCATCATGACATATTCATACAGGGTAATGGACAACTGGCTTTTTCAAATAATGTAAAAAATCAAAAATATTTGGTAGTGGTGATATGTATCTGTATTTGTGGTTATGTTTCGAGTCTCTCTTTACTTTTCCTGTGTTTTCGTTTGGACTGGCTCTCGCACTCAGTTATCTTGTGTCCCTTTCTTCCTCGCTCCTCCTTCTCCCTTCGCATTCTTCTTTTGAGTGAACTTGTCTTTCTTTACAGCAGGTCAAAATAACAACCATACAAAAACACAAGGACTCCATACATGTGCACTATATTTATATAGATTTATTAAAGTAAGTAAGAAATAACTTTACAAAGGTAATAAAAATAAAACAAAAGTACAAAGGCATCATTTTTTCATCTTATTCTTTTTTCTTTTTTCCATTTGAAACTGCGATAGTGACCTTGCAAGCTCCACAGTGTCAACAAAACATATTGCGAAACTCATTATGATATTATTAACAAGATATTCTGTGAATAAATATCTGTAACATTTAGCAAGAAAATAATTTGTTCCTCTCTGAGTTCATTAGTAAATATACTATTTTGGCAGACTCAAGTAATGTTGTCATTTTGAAACAGTGCCTCCTGTGCGGTGTCTGGCATCTACAGACCGATTTCAGTTCTTCTGTCAATGATTTGACTGCATAATCATGTTTAAGTGTTAAAGATGAACAGCGGAAATCCAAGCTGAACAGTGGGAAAGCCATTCTGTAATCTCTAACCAGGCACATATGAAATGATTGACCGTTGCATGTCTGTCCTTCTGAATGGAATAGCAAATAGAACAGACCTACACTTTAAAGCTCATGATGAATGGCCTTAAGTCTTACACAACAAATAAAGAAAGATCATTTTTGGAATATTTAAGTTGTTAGAGGTTTTCAAATGCTACAGCTAAGGAGCATAAGCAATCCAGCCTGCTGTTGCTTGGCTTGACTGGAGTTTGGCACAAGTATGTGCATAAGATACTGTAACTAAATTATAGCTACAAAGTATGCTTCAAGAGAAGGATATGTGCAATGTGCTCTGGAGTCCAGTCCAGTAAAGTCAGCATTACAGCAGAGGAGAGGATACATACAAAATCTCTTTCTCTCTCTCTCTCTCTCTCTCTCTCTCTCTCTCTCTCTCTCTCTCTCTCTCTCTGTCTCTCGTTCATGGGGCTGAGTCTGAGTCACTTGAGTCCAGGCTGGCCTGTGTGGGTGTGCTGGTCCTGCCGGAGTGCGTCGAGCCTGTGTGGTGCAGCGTCTGTGTGCTCCTCCTTAGGCTCTCCAGCGACTGCAGGAAGGAGCGTCTGGCTCTCTCCTCCTCCAGCGGCGAAGTCCCTTCCTCCTCCACCTCTGCGATCTCTGCAAAGGTTACGGGCTGAGTCTTGAAGCGGGCCTCCCTTGGTCGCCGGGGGCGACTGCGGCCCCTGGCCGGGCCCTTGGGCACAGGAAGCTGCTGAGGGAACTCCTCCATGGCAGAAGCCAGTATGTGGGCTGGGAGCATGGAGAAACCCACCGTTTCCATCGGACGTGCAGCCATGGGTGGAGATGCGAAACGCTGAGCGTTCGTCTTTTGAGGTGTGGCAGATGTCTCTGCTCCTTCACTCTCCTTATCTCTTTTTAAAGAAGGTTCCAGTGCTGACTTTTGGTCTATTTCTCCTCCTCGTCCAAAAGTGTACTCACAGTTCACAGCACGCTTCCAAAATGCCTTATGGTCCTGATGCTTTGAGGATTTTCGGTCCACCTGGTTTTTCCTCTGGCACTGTAAAAGCTTGTGCTATAGAAGTCCTCAGTCTCTGTGTCTTGCTCAGCAACGCAATGCGTTTTTCAGAGGCAGTCGCCTGCTTCCTCCTACCAGTGGCTCTGTATCTGGGTCGTTTCCGTGTGAGCTACTGACAGAGACAAATCCAGCCCAGGCTTTTATAGCTGTGTACTCCCTCAACATCTCCCCACTCCCTGCAGGCCCCTCCCTCACTCTGTGAGCAGGCCTGGTTCCGGTTAGCCATACCAGTCTCCCCAAATCAGCCCCCTTAAATAAACGCCTGCTACAGGACAGCTGAGGGGGAGGAGGAGGGGGAGGAGGAGCGAAAGCAGCACACATGCAGAATAACACAGAGACCAACCAGCTGTAATTTGCATCAAGATGAAAAGTTTCCCATTAGAGCAGCTGTAAACCAAACACTGATGCATGGTACACATGTAAACATGTAGAAGTCACATAAACAAGACAATGCAAATCAGGGAATCTTTCTAAAATTTTGGTTGACTAATATATTAAAGCAGAAGATCCAATCAGATCAATCTAGAAACAGACACAGTGGTAATGAGCTGTTAAAGTTGCTGGGAATGTGATATTTTTCACATCATGTTTTACAGATTTTCTGAATATGCAAGAAAGGCTCTGGTGGAAGTAACACTGTCTAGGTTGATTTGTTCTTTGTTCACTTTAGGTTATTCAGACAAGGTTTTATTAGTGAATCTGTCTTCCAGTGGAATATTTTGACAACATATATCTAACCAGTCAATATATGTTGTGCGTATTTACTCTTAGATGTGTATTTGCTTCTTTTTAGATAAAGTTCTGTACAAATGTCAGAGCACACCCTTCATTTATTTGATTTTCACTCAGAATGGCCATTAACTACAAGTTATTAATTTTTTCAGTATCAGGAAAAACTAGAAGATATACATTTAACAGAAATTCACACATAAGCCTCAACTGCCTTACAGCTTCCATTCTTTTTTAGGAGACTTGCTTTCAGTTTTTCAAAGAAATCTTCAGGGATATTTTCCCTCTCACTTTCAAAGTTCAGTTTAGAAGTTGGTTGCATTTTCTGTTTCTCACAATCCAAGTCAACCCAATTACAGATTTAGCCTCATCAGTCCACACTATAGATATCTCAGATGTTCTACTGCAGTGTAAATGTCAGTGAGAGCTTTGGGAACAGTATTTGTTGGGAGGACACAACTGTAACTCTTTAAAGTGGCAGTAGGGTACTTTGCGAACAAACAGAAAATGTTTTTTTTTATGATCACATTTGACCGACAGTCGATTTGGTCAGACTCTGAAGATGAGACTACACTAAACTCCCAAACTGTCAGTTGGTCTGTGTGGAGCTGGAGAACGTACTGCCGGCTGTGCAGCGAGTGAGCGGAGCTCTTTACTGTGACGTATCACCGAGCTGCTTGTTAAGGAACTATAATTTGGCAGAAGGAACCGCGAACATTAAAACATCACAACCCAATTTATTTATTTTTTACTTTATTTATTTAACTGTTGTATAAAAGCAATAGAACACTCGCCTTCGGCTCGCGCCTGCGACCAAATCACAGCAGTGATGTTATTCGCGATGACACACAACCTCGAGTGTTCTATTGCTTTTATATATATACCTAGATGATATCTAATCTCTCTCTCTCTCTCTCTCTCTCTCTCTCTCTCTCTATATATATATATATATATATATATAGATAGATAGATAGATAGATATACACTTAGATGATATCTACTCTGAGCCTGTCATGTATTTAAGCTGATTGTATCTTTGTATCTTGGGTGGTTGACATGGCAGCACATATACACAAGACCCTGCCCTACTGTGTCACAGACCTAATGAGTGTTTCTGTCATCATCCTCTCTCTCTTTTTCTCTCTGTGTCCAGATCTGTTAGGACTATAATTACCTCTGACAGGACAGCGTCAGCCACGATGCACGTAAATGTACGCTGAGCCCAGAGCTGTGTCACTCACAACGTCAGAGCAGAAGATGAGCCAGGTGGTGTAAGACACTATAGCTGGGGTCTTTTCGTCACATGGAGGGAAGATGAGACTTAATAGGGAGTATGGGCCTTTAAAAGCCCTAAAAACCAAAGGGGATATCACCTTAGTGCACATTCACCCACCCACCCACTCAAATATGCCTTTCATACTCCAAAGGCCAAGGGGTGAGGGTAAGCTTCTGTTTTACTATTAGTGTGACCGTTCTATTTTAGGACTGCAAGGGCAGCTCTCTCTCACTCACTCGCTAACCCCATCCAGCAACCACTCGACTAGACGCTATATGTCAAATGACATCACGCAACACGCATCTATGGAAGTTATTCAGGCCATGTGTTAGAAGAATGTGTAGTAAATTTAATTTATAGCTTGTTCCTCTATCCCATACAGACCTCCTTGCTGATAGGATATCTTCCAGTTGCAACATGCACATTCACATGCTGCCTCTCTAAAATTATTGTGAGATTTTACATAAGGTGTCAAGCCTTTACCTATAAACAGTAATAACAGTTGCTTTTGGCCCCTGAGCCACAAAAGGGGCCAAAAGCAAAGGGGCCCCACAAGACTATTTTAGTTAAAATAGTCATGTTTATGCTCTAAAATCATTTGTGTCAACTGTTACACAGAAAAATATCCTATGAAGAAATTGCTGATGATTATTAAAAAAAAAAAATCAATAAAGCAGAAAAGATGAACACTGAAAGATTGTAATAACTTATTAATACGTGTAATTATTAATTCTATTTATCCTGTTACACCCATATGACTATTGTTTTATTGTGTTTATCTGTGTATTTGTATTTTTTGATGAAAATAAATAAAGTATTAATTCTTTTTTATACATATGTTCATATTTTTTATATACAGTGAGGGAAAAAAAATTCAGACACCACAAATAAATAACATTAGTACTTTGTTGCAAAGTCTTTGTTGGCAATTACAACTTCAAGAACTCTACACTAAGAAGTAATTAACATACTTTGACAAAGTAACATGATTGGGGTGGGTGGGGCCACCACGTAAAATGTCACTTAAAGTGGCTATATGTTTGAAAATAGGCATGTTTGCACACAACACTAGGCAAAGACAGTAAAAGTTGCATCTACTTTTTTCAGCTCTCTTGGTTACTTGCTTGATTGACAGCAGCTGCAGGTAGTGTTATATACATACATGTAGCTGTGTAATCCTAAAGACTGGCAGGTTTAATGATTCTCCTCTTCTGTCCTTCCTTTCATCCTCTAATAGGGTCATCAGCTCTTAGGCCACAGCTTGACATAGGAAACTATATAAACAAAGAGAGACCATAACACAAGGGTCTTACTTACAGGTGCTTTTGAGTTCACACCCTACCGGGACTCTAAACTGGGTTGCGGTGTAAAGCATGAATGTCCTTGTCTTTATTAACAAGAAGGCTTGATTTACATTTTCCACTGGGTTGCCAGATTTGACTAAGGACGTAGTAGTTGATTGCAGCATTGTATTTGTTTTTGTTTCATTTACGTCACACAAGCAGTTTCATTCCAATGTTTTTCCACCTTCTGCTTTATGGGTTAGCAGCTGTTCTAATGAAACATAAAAAAAGACTTCAATAAATAGGTTAAACCAGGGCTGCCCAAAATGTAGCTTGTGAGGATGCTTGATTTTGCCCCCACTCCCTCACCCAGTGAGAGAACAAAAATGTTTTTATACTATATAGAACTTATTAAATTCCTATTTTTCTTTTAAAATTGTTTTCCCAACTAACTTAGCAACAAAATATAGTGTAACATAAAATATATTTGTCAAAATTCGATTTGAAACATATTAAAATATATATATATATATATATATATATATATATATATATATATATATAACAAAACATGCAGGAACTCCTGGAGCAATGAAAACATGCTAGTTTTTTCACTGCCACACACAATTTCAGTCCATCTCAACATTACCACAGAACAAGCCAGGTATATGTAGGTAAAGGCAAAAAAAGACTGTGGTTATTTGCAGCAGTAACTCTGAAAATGTCACATGGTCGTATATTTGGGTATCGAGGTCTCCTCGGTCAGATAGTGGAATCTAACACTATTTATTCATTCTAGGGTAAAAATATCCCAGAGTACATGATTAGCAAGCACATCTATCTATCTATCTATCTATCTATCTATCTAGTTTTTTCTCCAACAGTCACATCAGTTTGACACCTCTAGAGTGAATCATTGTGAACCATTCAGAGAAATATTACTTTACATACTTTACTAAGTACTTTACATAGGAAGGTCAAATAAAACAGCAGTCACAGTGTTCTTAATCACAGTGCACTTTGTGGAGCACACACTGTGAACTGTTTTGAGTTATGAGAGTAGTACGAGAAGGGGAGGAGTATTCTCTCATCAACAGGAAACAGGGAGGCCTGGGGATGTTGTGTGTTTGTGTGTGTGTGTGTGTGTGTGTGTGTGTTGGGGGATGTGGTGGTGGTGGTTTTGGGTGGCACTGGATACACAGGCCTACTAAATCAGCCTTAAGTTTTAACATTACCATCACTTGTCAGCCCATGCAAATGATTGAGTCCATGCAGTTTGGTCTCATTTTAACCTGATACTACATATGATAGTACCTCTGTGAATAGAAGCACATATCTGAAATAGGAGGGGGTTGAATTCTGACATAGCCGTGATGACAGAGAGCTTTCTGTTTGGGTAGATGTCACAGGCCGCTGAGATTAGCGCACTGCTCTGTTTCCAGCCTGTGCTGTACTAATAGGCCAAAGGTGGCAGGGTGAGGGGAAACAGGAGCTGTACGGCTATGATGTAACTGAAAGCAGAGTCAGCCAATTGGACTCAGAGAAGAACTGTTTTCTAGCGCTGACAACAAATACGCTAGCTGAGCTAATAAAGTCGTTCCCGGGCTTCTATGTTTGATGCTGTGTTTAGGACAACCTTCATGGCTTCCTAGAAGTTTGTGCACAAGAATGTGATGAGACCTAGGTTTACTATACATAAGAACATAGCAGTATTTAAACTTTTTCAACAAATTTCAGTGGTACCCTGTTCTTGGCTTGGACATATTGTTCTTGGAAAAACATTTTATTCATAAAGAATGTTTACATTGTGTGGGGGTTCTTTAAACTCTTCAAAACATTCTTCAGATTCACACATTTCATTTACAAAAGTTGTTCTTTAACAAACCATCCATCAAAACATTCTTCAGGGAACCAAAAGTGCTACTTCTATGGCACCTTTGTTTTTAAAGGGGCATTCCAGCTTAAAATTTGCATTTAAGATGGTATTTGCCATGTTATGTACTGTTTCATCCCTTAGTTTGTCAGAATGCACTATTCTGTAGCCAGTTTTTTTGCATTTTTGTCCATCAATGTTCTCTCACTACAATACCCAGCATGCATTTTGCAAACACGCCAGACAACCATGGGGAATCCCCCATCCCCTCTACTACCACCACCACAGCTATAAAGAAATCCACTGATAAGGGTAATAACCACAGACATGATATTTGTCTTTGTAGCAGGTAGCAGGAACATTAGCCAGCTAGCAGGAAAAAAACATCTAGACCGCTCTTTGCCCCAAAGTGCTTGTAGATTTCCAAAAGTTCATCTCACCTTCAAGATACAGTCATAAAGCACTTAATTAGGAACGCTATACTAATACTGGGTATGACCTCCCTTTGCTCTCAGAACAGCCTTAATGTTTTGTGGGATGGAGTCCACAAGATGTTGGAAAATTCCTTTGAGATTCTGGTCCATGCTGACATGACTTCATCATGCAATTCCTGCAGATTTTTCAGGTGCACTGTCATACTGTGAATCTCCTGTTCTACGATATCCCAAAGGTATTCTGTTGGATTCAGATCTGGGTGGCTGGGAAGACCACACTGTCATGTTCATGTTTGAGATGGCTTTTACTTTGTGACATGGTGCATTATCATGCTGGAAGTAGCCATTAGAAGTTGGGTGAATTGTGGCCATGAAAACCAATTGTGACCAATTGCACATGGTCAACAACAATATTCAAATAGACTGTGACTTTAAAGCCACAACTGACTGTATGAACAGGCTCAAAGTGTGTCAAGAAAATATTTCCCACACCATTACACCACCTCCACCAGCCTAGACTGGCGACACAAAGCAGGCTGGGTCCATGAATTCATGCTGTTAGCATCAAATTCTGACCCTACTATCTGTGAGGTTCATCAAACCAGGCTACGTTTTTCCAGTCATTAACCGCCCAGTTTCAGTGAGTCTGTGCCCACTGTAGCCTCGGCTTTCTGTTCTTAGCTGACAGAAGTGGAACCTGAAATGGTCTTCAGCTGTTGTAGCCCATCCGCCTCAAACTTTGCTACGTGTTGTGCATCCTGAGATGGTTGTATAGACTGATGTACAGAGTGGTTATCTGAGTCTGGCCATTTTCCATTGACCACTCTCATCAACATTTCTCTTTGCAGAACTGGCACTCAATGAATTATTTTTTACTTATTGCACCATTCTGAGTAAACTATAGGGACTGTTGTGCGTGAAAATCCCAGGAGATCAGCAGTTATAGAAATACTCAAACTAGCCCACTGCACCGCTGCCACACGATTGGCTGATAAGATAATTGGGTGAATGTGTAGGTGTACAGGTGTTCCTAATAAGGTGCTCAGTGAGCACAGATCATCCAAAAGGGTTTAAGTGTAGTCTTTAAACTGCAAACTCTCATTCAGGAGTATAGCACCACCACTGTAGGAGGCAAGTAGGCATATTTACAGCAGATGTAGTGATGCTGACATTTTAAATTTTGGCCCCCTGAATTAGTACTGCACTGACAATGCTGTGTTAGTTTTGACATTGCAAAGACAGTGTGCAAATTAATGTGCAGACATTAGTGGACAATCCTTTTACAGAGAAATAGTTATGACATTTACAACAGCTGTAGGGACTAATCAAAACACTGCAACCAGCTGGTCTGTGTCTGTTAGTGCATTTAAACTGTATTCTTGCAGTACTCACATCTATTTACAAATAAAAGTTTAAAACATTTGGCAAGCCAATGTGTTCTCTTTGTCTGTTTCCTTCTCACACACACCACAAGTTGCGTCAGAAGAAGGTTAGGCCCATTACAATAAACAGCATGAGATATTGCATTCCAGAACAGAGGGAGCAAAGACCTGACTTTCCAAGCACAGGCCAGTTTTTATAGACTCTTACAAGCAGCCCAAAGCAATGACTGTGAAGTATTAGGGTACACAGTGAAGCTTTAATTAAAGTTCTGCAACAAATCACTAGAAGAGGATAACAATGAGCAATAATGAGAGATTTATACTATTTTTCAGCATCTAAATGCTTTGATAAAGGTCATTGGTTAAAATCTTAACTTGAGGTTAGCATTTCCCGAAAGAACCGAAAACAGAACAATAGATTACAAGTATAAAATACCCTACTTCATATTTAGGGATGTCTACACTCAGACTTTCTGCAAACCATACATTTTTCTTGAGCGTTAAACAGAATCAAATTTTTTGACAAGCTTCAAAAAGAAACAAATCCTAACATGACTTAATGGTAACTTAATGCTCATTCAGTTCTTAAACAGCTTCAGAGAAACTACACCATGACTCACTGCGTACAAGAACCAGAGCAGTGCAGTTTTGCTGCATGTAAAAAACTTTTACCACACGCATTATGTCTATTATATAACATAAATTATTGGCTAGGTTGCCACTAAATGTCTTTATAGACTCTGTTAACCATTCCACACATGATCCTAGGGTAAACAATACTCTGAATAAGATTATAATGCTGTCACTATTATAAGCAATGACAGAACTTTCACCTGTGAAAATGACACCAAAACCATTCCAAACTATTTTCTACATATAAACATGACTTTGGATATGTGGTTATTACAAGTATTAGCCACACACAGATGTTCTTCCACATTTTATTGCAGCAGTCCAACAAAAAATAGCCTCAAAAAAAAAGAAAAAAAAAACATCAACATTTCTTTTCATTACAGGGCTAATAAACAGAGAAACCAATTACTGCATACATACAATTTTTTGTTGGAAGTAACACCTTTGCACTCCTTTGAGATGTTATTGAAAAGAAAACACTATATTTAAATAATATTTATAAATATTTAACTTCACGTTCTTCTTGTAAATAGGTCTTGATTGTACAGTGAACTTCCATTGTTTGAAAAAAGTGAGGAAGACATTTAGCAGTACTGAGATGAATGATCTCTCAAAAACCAAAACAGAACACTATCTAAACACCACCCTGAAAGAATAATTCACTCGACGAGAGGTTATGTTATGGTCAATCAGTGACTGTATTTGGCAAATGGGAGGACACGATCTATCACCATTTTGTTGATGTTCCGCAAGCGTGAGTGAAAATCTTTTTTTGACCTCATCCTCTCCATCTCTTTGAATGGCCTGCATTTATTCATATATCTTCAGGCTCTTATTGTCTTAATATCTCCATTATTATCCATCATCTCTTGGAGGAATGTGGTTCTGGATAGATAGTACGGAAGGTCAGATTTATCCTAGGCCCTCGGTCGTGGTACTCCTTCGCCACCTGATGCTGTTTAATAGACCCAGGACAGTGACATTATTAACAAAAGGGCAGATGAGATTAAGAGAAAAATAACATTTTTTATAACAACAACATAACTGAGCACCATTAAAAAAAAAAGCTTATGAAAAGTTTTATTTCCCCCAAAATCAGTCAGAGCGCATTGCCAGCACAGTGCTATTGATCTCATGATGAACAATGGACAAATATTCATTACCACATGGACTATTTTGTTTTCCTTGTGAATGTCCTCTGGGGTCATGCTGACCATGTTGTTGCTGTCTAGGCCTGTCTACTAAGTGACCAGTCTGGACCAGTATGGTACATATTTCTGACTGCAAATTCAGAACAGTGTAATCCGAGACAGTCCCTGGGGAATCCGTATCTACAGCAAAGCTCTCCCAGCAAAGTTTGCCAACACTCCTTTACAGTTATGCAATGTGTCTCAAGAGCTATAAATATTTAGTGTGTTTTTCAAAGCACTCTGTAGCAAGTCATCCATGTTTGGCTTTAATAAGCCTTATTTGTGTCTGACTAAAAAGTTCCAATAAGAGCTTTAAAGTACATTCCTAGTTCAAAGTATGGGCCTAAGAGATGGTCTTCAGGTGTTACCATAAAATGTCCTTGACCTTTTCCCCCTTCTTTGTGTTCCCTGAAAAGGCCTGTTGCTATACTCCGTGCCAGCATCTAATAGCACCTCTACAGCAGGGGAGAATGATCTCCAACAGGCTTTTAGCATTTAGCTGACAAGACAGTGAATGTGGTGAACAGGCCAGTCTGATCTTTTTACACATGCAAACAGCACAGAGCTTGGAGAATTGCGTACATGTCCATTCTAGCCTTGTAAGCACTGCAGAGAACTACACAGTATGAAACTTTTTTCTTTGTCTTCTCACCCTGATACACATCAGCAAATAAAGTGTACATGTACATTCGACTTTCAAAAGCTATCAGTGTGACATATTTGAGTCAGCTGGTGACGAAAGGTGGTCACATTTCTTTAAGAGATCGTTCTTTAGCTGCAACAGTCAATGAAAGTTGTAACATTTCATTTCTGTTCTGGTAACTTTCTTTACTGTCACAGTCTATATAGTGAAGGGTTCTATTGATACAGAACAGATATTATAAGAATAAGTTTAACCACGCCTTAAATTCACAACGGAGGAAAAAACAATGCAATATTTACACTGAGACAATCATGCCAAATTTTAGCAGACCAAAGTTGTAGTAAAACACTCAACTTAATTGGCACAACCGATAAGCTAAAGTCAATGCTGCCCATTTTTACACAATGCCAAAAAATAGCTTCTCAAGATTAAAGGAAATGCTCTCAAAGAATTATGAGTGTACAGACTCCTATTACAGGTAGTAACAGATCAAACTATACCTGCCAGTCTTCTTGAGTACACCCCTCCATAATGAGGAGAGTCCCATGACTCAGAGGTATCCTCAATTTCTCTGCATATGTGTAATCCCCTTTCTCTTCCTACAACACAGAAACTCAATTTGTATACATAACACAATTACATATGTACACTAAAGTAAACTGTTGTGTAGATTGCTCAGTTGTCTGAGCTGCAGAACTAATTTATTCATGAGGGACAATTAACAAAGAAATGAAACATTACAGAACAGTTTAGAGTGCTTCTGCTTTTATTTAAACAACATGTCAGCTTTCTCCATAAACAATGCTGCCATTGCTTAAGCGATTTTGCTGACTAATGGCAGTGAAACTCATGCACACATGTCTACTTACCCTTCAAAATGTTTACATGGCAGTGCACCTTCTAAACATTTAAACCAGTCAGCTGATATTTAGCAAGTTTGCTGGCATTTCTCTTGCTGCCACTTACGAAGACCAATGCTGTAAGCAAGAACATCATCATTGACTCACTGGGGGCGGCTTCTTCCGGAGACTAAAGACTCGTGTGTCCCCTAGACTGAGGGAGGCAATGGTGGGGCGAGGGCCTAAAGAAGCTTCATCATCACTGTGCCAGGCAATGCTGTCCTTTCCATCACGGTACAAGTTACAAAGTAGTGAGTTAAACGTGTGTGAGGTCTCCCGCTCAATGGCCTGACGTAGTGTTATGAGGACAGGATGCCACTATAGGAAGAAGAAACGCATGTGTATGAGTGGGAGAAAGCTAACACAAGAAGGAGAAAGATATATATTTTATTGTTCTCAAGGCTACATAAATGCACACAATGCTGTGTACATATGCCTAACTGCATGTATACATTCCTATATATTTTTATTACCATATTTTATAACTAGAACAGCTGATACTTTTACCAGCCCTGTCTATTTATACCTGCATAATTTTGCATACTTCGATATCATGTATACGTAAAATTTTAACTTAATGTTTTATTACAGTTTGCTTTTTATTATGTCTGTTTGTGTGAGCACTCGCCAGAACAAATTCCTTATGTGAAAAATAATAAACAATGACTATTAATAATTCAGATTTTTAATAACTTTGAGACTATACAAACTATTGTGCAATCTGACTGAGAACATTCTGTGTCTATAAATATCAGGTGAGAAACAATAAAGCAGTAATACACAATTCAGTAATGATACATTTGTACAGGGCTCTTATGAAGACCAATATGATATTCAGACATACTGAATCAAAAATTATAATGAGAATAAAATGCATAAAGAAAAAGTGGTTGAAACCTGAGGGTTGGCTTGCATTGTGGAGCGAGAATATGTGTAAGGTAGTTCTCCATACCAGCAGGTCAGCCGGGGTTCGTCATACGAGTCACCTGAGCCAGGAAACATTTGACACCGCTATACAGAGCAACTGTGCTTAATGATTTATTCCCATGTTCTCAAGCTGGTAGTAGGCATACTTAAGAATGTATATTTGCACAAAGACACAAGAAATTAAACTAGTTTTTGCACATGTCTAAATAATTTCTTTGTAGTTTACTTTATTTCATTTTCTTTATAAGCAGTGTACAGACGGTGGCAGTACCCAATGTATGGGCTTTTAAACACCTATTTTCTGCTTGTTCCGAATATGGGAATAAACTGAACCGATTATCAGAACAAAAATATGTTTCAACAAAAAGAGCTCCATGAGAGCCTCAGTTAGACTTTGTATTGCTTGTCCAAAGCAAATATTTATTCCTTTGGTATATTTAAGGCTTTTTAACATGCGGCTACTTCTGGAAAGGATCAACCAAAGTGCTGGAGGCAGTAGCTGGTCTGCCAATTTAGAGAGGAAGAAGGACTGGAAAGAATGAGTCATCATACACGCACACACACGCGCATGCATGCACGTGCACACTTACTCGTTAACTCTTGTTAATTTTTTGTTTCACAGTTTATAATTGGAGCTGGACTTTCTAATTGATCATACTAAGAGTGAGTGTTTTCTCTCTTTCATTTGTTATCACTTACCCATCAAACCATAATTGGTCTTCTGTGACCATGGTAGCTCAGCCAGCAGAGTAGCGAACATCCAGTCTGCCTCCTCCAGTGGCAGAAACCCAGGGAGAAGCCGCAGTCTGGAGAAAAAACAGACAATGGGATGCAGAGAGACCACACCTTAGGGGCAGGAACAATCTCTAATGGAAATGTCTTATAGGTTATCTATGCAATAATACCTGGACACTCCAGTGGGCCCTTGGCTGATCTCATAGTCCCCAGCCTCTCTGAGAAAAAAAGAGAAATTGCACTTTTATTTCTATTCCCTCATGTTCCAAGTTGTGTACTAAAATAACAGAGTGCTCAAGTATCAGTAAGAAAATAAAGATCACTTACTCTATCGCCTTTTCCACGGGTATCACTCTGACCGGCTGGAATAAATTTGCAGAGATGAACAGAGAAACACAGGAACAGGAGAAAGATATCAAGTCTGCCCTCAAGCCACAAAACACAAGGCTATTACTTGGCACTTACATCAGCTGGCTGATGGAACTCATACGTTCTTGGCCCAACGTTCCATGACCCAGGCGTTGGCTGCCTACCTGCTACTGACACAGTGGGATGACATCTGGTATGTATTCATACCTTCCTGAGTAAAAACTGCTGCATGCTTTTATTCTTTGTAATAAAAATAAAGCTGTACACACACATTTTCTAAGCTACTTATCCTTCTGGGCCGCAGGAGGAGCTGGAGCCTATCCCAGCAGTCACTGGGTGGAAGGCAGGATACACCCTGGCCAGGTCACCAGTCCATTGCAGGGCAGACAGACACATACATTCACACACCTAGGGGCAATTTAGCCTGTCCAATTGGCCTAACTGCATGTTTTTGGACTGTGGGAGGAAACCCACACAGATCACGCAAACTCCACACAGAAAGGGCCCTGGTCACCTGCCCGGGAATCGAACCCAGGCCCTTCTTGCTGTGAGGCGACAGCTCTACCCACTGCGCCACTTCTGGACTACAAACTGGTTTATTAAATCATAAGGTCTAAAAGTTTCATTTAGTCCAGGACAACTTCAAGGCTGGGATAAAGCGGGTATTTCACAAGGCAGGATTTCTCAGTTAACCAAATAAGTTAAACCAAACGTCAGGCCTTTCTAGGAGAAGAGGTAGGGCTAAAGTACACTGCTAAGCTCCAATGCTGCCGACCTTACTCATTTACTGACCTACTTTGTGAAATGCTATCAAGAACCAGTTTTTACTGGAAGAGGACATAAGAGTTTGCTTACCTGAGGGTGCTGGTTTGGCCACAGGTTTGGCCCAGGAGCCCTGCACCCTCGCTCTCTGACGTTTGTCACCCATACAGGTCAACTAAAGAGGAAAATCCTTTTGTTAAAATAAAAAATCCAGTGCTGTGTTATGAAAAAAAAAAAATGTCTTATAGATCCACAGAGGCTCATTCTCAAATGCATTCCTACTCCAAATATTGTGCACTATGTGCGTTTCGGCTTCTTCAACCAAATTATGCGCTACATGTCTAGTAGTGAATTATGCACATCGTGATTAAACCCTTAATGGCTCTTTGCGATACATATTATGCACTGTTAGGGTAGAGAACACATTACTCTAAGACCTACAAAGTGCATTTCGTAGGGAGTAGGGGCAAAATGATATTCGGCCTGTCTCTAATAACCTATATGACCACTAGTAAATGGGACTTTGCTGGCACCTTCAGGCGGATTTCAGTATAAACCGTGCAGTTACAACAGCGTGTCCACTGACTCTACAAAGCTCTGCAGCTGTTTCCTCGTTTTCGACTAAACTTACCCTCGGCCTAAATGATTAAACCCTTTAATAGGTAAGGGGTAGAATCACACATATGTCAAACACTGTGGAGCTGTAAGTTCACTGAAAGTCTGAGGCAGAGACAAACATTAACTTAGCATGCATGCTAACGTTAGTACCAACACCAAGAAACTTTCACATATCCGGTCCGATAAGCAAGTCAGCCTTCATTCAAGACGTGCAAAAAGGCTCAGCATGCGTGTAAAAGAGCTCACGTGTGATGGCCGAACTGAAGAACGTCTGTTTCTTAGTATAAAGGTGAGTTTTATAAGAAACCACTTCAGTATATTGCAGACCTATTCACAGAGCGTCCCATTAATCCGTCCGACTTTATTTAGCCACCATCTGCACAATAGTTCCTACCTAGTTCTGGTCAGCAGCGTCAGGTGTATAAATTACATTATCATCCAGCACACGTACCAGAGTAACCTGCCTTATACCGGTCACAACAAATATAATGAATATGTATTTAAATAAAATGAATTAACGTTGCGTTTTCAAAGGAGCAGCATTTAAGACAGCTATGGATTTTCAGTGGGACGTGATTTTGTTTTTGTTCTGATACCTGAATTGGCCCGTAAAACCCTCTTGACAATTGATAGGGATATGAGTTTTAAATTGAGGTACTTCAGCAGTGAATTTTCTGTTGCTATATATATATATCTCGGATTGCATCTTTATTTGCCGAACTAAAATGGCAGTCTAAAACCAAACTCAAGCCTCAGGGCACACACAGAAGGTAAAGTGAGCTCTCAGGATGGTCTACAGCAGGGCTGTCTATGGGTGGGCAATCCATGCAAAATACCTATCATAGCATTTTGGCACACACACATTACACCAGTAGTATCACATTTAAAAGCAGCCATTGACTTTTGTGTGATGCCTCACATATTGTGCTTCACTAAATCCCATTAAACAGCACTAAGTATGAAGACTTTTATTTTTTTTTACTTTTTTTTTCCAATTTTCTCTTCATTTTGGTCATGTCTAATTCTACCCACTGGTCAGATCTGCCACAATCACATGATACCACCAGTACTAGGAGGGTGAAGGCTAGCACAAGCTTCCTCCGAGTCTTGTGAAGCCAGCCACCACATCTTTTTGAACTGCCACTAATGCAACATCATTGGACAGCTGAACGCGCTCAGAGGAGAGCGCTAACCACCAGCTCTGTTATGTCATCTTCATCCTACCCACCCAAAGAGAGCGAGGCCAACTGTGTTCTCGTGGACTCCCGGCTATGAATGGCTGTAGCATCACCAGGGATCAGACTTGCGATCTCCTGATGATAGGGTCAACGCTTAGACAGTTGTGCCACTCAGGAGCCAATGCTTTCTTTTTTTAATGAAACATGCAGTTGGTCAGTGTTCTTTGAGTTGGATATGCTTACAAAAGCATACTGTTTATCACGATGACCAAATTTATCATGATAACGATGAAATATCATCACATTGCCCGCCTCTAGGCATATATTTGCAATAAAAAGTGTGGCTGCATGTTTTCATTTTAGCAAAGCAGGAGCACACATGATCAATTACTTGAAGCCTGAGACCAACTGATTTAACAAGTACAGTCAGGTCTGTTTCAGATTGTTTGGAATAAAAAGCTGCAGCCATATGAGCCCTTTGTGGATAAGCCTGGACACCCATGTTCTGTGGGCTCCCCTCTTTGACCCATTCACAGTAAAGCTGAAGACACATTAGGAGAGGTCATCTGGTCATTGCACCTGTGTGATACCATAGTCCCAGAGTAAATAAGGCATGCTGCCAGTGTATGAAAAGCTTAGCAATAGTCAATTGTGGGCATCGATATCCAGTATTTTTCATGTACATATCTGACAATGCTGATACATAAACATATATAAATATTTTTAAAATGTAAAAAATGGGCCTAGATCCACCTGGATTAGCTTTATGAAGAGAGAAGATGTGAATTACAAGTGCAGTGAAATTAATAAAATACAAAACCAAGCACAGTAGCCCAGCATCACCTAAAAATTGTGGTAACCTGGAATACAAAAATAAATAAATTAGATTTTTGTTTTAAGTATTGGTCACATGTAAACATCTGTCCGATGCCAATTTTTTAAATAAGAATTTATCTGTAGATACAGATGATTTTCGATATCATTTTTTTTACTCTATCCATTTGTGCATAAAAGGCAGAGATCTAAATGAATATTTAAGTATTGAATTATTTAAGTATTTCAAAATGTCAATACACCATTATAGATAAACAATTTGTAACAAATTTTAAATGTCAGACATGTTGAAGCATTTACAAAAATGACAATATTAAAACCTAATTAAATTATAAATTTCAAATGCATTTATGCAGTATGCTCTTCATGGGTATCCACAATTAATTTTGATAATTCTTAATAACAATAAGGTACATGTGTAAAGTATTTAAAGATTTTACTAGTGCTAACAGTCATCGAGTACATACACATAGGTTTCTCTTGATTATTTTAAAGTAAAGCAATTGTCACACAAAATTCATTAATTAGCTTAACAAATATCTAATGAATTAGACAAAAACTCAAGAAAAAAAAATAAAAACTATTTTTAACCATAAAGAATTTTTCTTTTTGTTTTGTAAATTGGTAAATTGGACTAAGTGCCACCTAGTCTAAATCAAGTGACCAGCTGCCTCAACCTGTTTCAGTTCATAGAGGAAACAATTTCCAAAAACAGTGTCCCAGTTTTCACAGGTTCATTGTAACATCCAGCATAGTGAACCGTTCAACATATACATTTTAAATTCTCTGCTGAATTATTGGAGTGATTTAGAGGCTAAATAATAAAAAACACATAATTGCACACCCATTTCCTGGAGGAAAAAAAAAAAAAACACCCCACACACTTTCATTGGATAGACAATTTTATTGACAAACAAGCATACATGGATAAAGCAACAAAGGCAATAATTGTTTTCTGAGCTTAAATATGCTTGGAATGTAAAAATTCAAGTTTTCTATCTGGTGCAATACCTGAGCATTTCCATTTAACTGGCTTTGGTCCGAACAAATCATACAGAGATCTTATAAAAATACATACATTCTATATGGCATGGTCTACTCTTTGGTGGAACTTTAATTTAATAATAATAAAAGAAGGCCAGTAAGTGCATGTAAAGGTCTCCTTATAATAACCATAACCAGTTTCCTGCATATTAGTGTAAGGCACATTCAGACTGATCAGAGATTGACAGTATGTGTGTGTCCAAAGTGGCTCTTTATAAAAAAAACAAAAAGCACCATTGCATCTAGTTGCATTAACATGTAGTATAAAACACCAAAAAGCCCACCACCATTTTTATAAATACAAAAGTAGTAATAAATGGTACAAAATGTAAAAAAGGATAAAAAGCCAATACTCATCTGATCATTCAGGAACTGAAGAAAATATTCATTTTGTAAATTTACCTTCTTATTGATTGTAAACAAACACGACAGGGAACTGGCATCACTGAGCATCAAACTAGGTGCATGAGTGGCTTTTATATACATATTTTCATATATGTATATCAAACCCACTTTCTATTCACATACCCTCTGCTTACAACAGCAGTGAAAAGTGAGCCCTCCATGCACCAGTGCAGCACTCTTTAGACCCTGTACAGAAAGCTACACCCCCACTCCCAAATCAAACAAGCAAATAATAAAGAAATGCTCACCAAGTTAAAGGCAGAGTCTGAACTACTTCATTTCAAGATGTGTCAGTGGGACATCTGTGCGGTCAGTAGCTCTTAAATATTATATATATATATATAATATATATATATTATATATATATATATATAAAAAAAAGATCTTCACTGGGGCAGTACTTCAAAGCCTCCACGCAAAACTATTCAAACACTGATACAAATGTCAGGCAGTCATATCCAAACTAAGCTGATAGGAATGAAAGGACATGGTTGTTGGTCAAGTCGTTTTCCTTTTAGGTCATCACTGCAAACTATCTCAGCTTTCTCCTCCTGAGGTAGCCACCACGCTGAGCCTTGTTCATGCGCATGCCAAAGTAAATGACCAGATTGATGGGAACCAGAACAGTGGTCAACCATCCCTGCAAGACACACAAAAAGGACAGTTAGGAAATAAATTACATCAAAACAAAGGCCTGGTGAATTGTTTTTTTGTCCATCACATGTAGATAAAAGACCCATTTAATTCTTAAGTTAACTACACAGATGTGTATACATACAGCTACTACACAAGTTGAATTGTTCACATACTTCAGTTCAAAGCTATATCCACCAGAGGGCAGATCATTGCTAAAAGATGCCTTGCTGGCAGAAATCCTTCTTGAGCTACTACTTCTGATTTTGCACAACAATAAACAGAGACAGTTGAAGAGAGTTTGATTGTTCATCTTGAAGACAACAGAAACAGATGTCAGAAATGGCTGTTGTCATGGTTTGTTCAGTCAGATGCTTACGTCACATTGTGGTATACTGCCCCCACCGTTTATGTTGGTATTGCATCTTCTGAACACATCGCATTCATTTCTGAGGACGTGCACAACTCTAAACAAATGCAAGATATACAGGGTAGCCCTGAATCAAGGCCTGTAGGCTGGTGGTATATGTGAAAATAGTCCTGTTCTTACCATGACTGCATGGGGGAAATAACCATTGGTCTGGTCCTGCAGCCCCACAGTGGTCACCTCAGCAGCTACATAGCGGTCAGGAGTGGGCTTGTCCAGAGTGGGTTTCCTGATCTTTGTCATCTTGGTGGCCACAAAGAAAGGCAGCACACTCTGCAGAATTAAGAGACTTTTAGACCAGACACTTATCCTTCTGGGCTGCAACCAGAACCCCAAATAATACTATTAGTGAAACTGATCTGTTGTAGAAAGTGAGATGAAAAAAATCTGACCTGGATGATCAGCCCCTTGCACTTGTACTCTGCTTGGAGTCCGCGGGAGAAGAAGTCAACAAAAGCCTAAAATACAAGTTGTAAAATTTTTAAACTTAAAAATTCACTTATCATAGGTAGTAGATTATTAATCTATACAGTCAAGTCCAAAGTTTAGTTGGTATGATCGAGTAAGGAAATTGCCAAACTATGTTGGACTCCAGCCTCCCTGCTCTAATAGGGATGAATATTAATATCAGAATTGCATTGGTTGAAAACAACACCCAACAACAACACCACCCACACACACACACCCAATAACAAAAAAAAATACATATATAAAAATTTCTCTTTTCTGCATGGGACCGATATTTAGGTGAACAAGTTCCACCTGAGGTGAACTGGGTGCATTAGAGCTAGGAGAACATTACAACATGCAGGGTAGAGTTACTTCAGGACCAGGATTGTGAGCCACTACTCTAAATAAGGTTAACATGGAACCCAAGGCTCCCAGTCCCTGTTCTGTAAACCCCATACACAAATGTGTTTTCCTGTATCTACTATGCCTGATTCAGCTCAATTCAACTAAAATTAACAAGCCACTTATGTGCTGCGACAGGTGCGTTAGAGTATGGAAAACAAAACTGCAGAGCCTGGGGTCCCCAGGAATGACTTTGGCAACCACTGATATTAACCATGAACTCATCAATGGAAGTTGCCGTGATCAGATATGCAAGTAGGGTTGTGGAGATGGGGATCCACTTGCCTTGGTGGCGGAGTAGACAGTCAGCAGTGGAACTGGGTACATGCCGCTGGCAGAAGAGATGTTGAGGACAACACCTTTAGCTCTGAAAAAGACAGAATGAGTTATAGCTTACTGTGCTCAGCCAAAGTAAGTATCACATTGAACAAGCCCACCAGAGAGGCTAAAAACAAGAATCTACACCCTGACAGCGCCATAACAGACTGACGACAACACACACACCACACACACAAACTAATTATGATCGCCTTGTGTGTTGCCATGGCACCAGCTTTCTCACGCAGTACCCCTGCAGCTGCAGTAGCATGCTTTAGAGAGCTGAGGTTGGTCCCATTTGTACAAAATTTTCCCAGCTCCATGATTGGCTATATTGAGTCATGTGTGACTCCAGGGCCAATCAGGGAAATGCATTTGTTACTCAGCTTGGCAAGCCATTTCCAATTTTGCAAAAAGAGTGTGGGAAATTGGGGAGGGGGGGGTGGGGGTAAATGGTGGACAGTAAGTAAAGGTTTTTACAGATATCTTTACTACAATGCTTTTTGTATTATCTTCAATTTTAATGATTAGGAATTTCAACTTGCTTTTAACTCTTATACTCAATGCTTAGTTAGTTTTAAGAGGATTCCTAGGACTCACCTAGCTTCCATTCTGGGCAACACCAGACGAGTCATCTGATGAGAGATTCAGAAACATTACTACAGAATAGCAGTAAATGGAGGAGTACATGGCCAAAATGATTTAAAATAACATTAAATTAGACACAGGAGTTTTTAATTTGCTTTGAAACGGCAGACGTAAATGGAAATACTTACTTGGCACACTGAAGTGATATTAACGTTGATCATTGTGTTAATGAACTAAAAAAGAAAGGAGATCATGGGTGTGAGACAACAAGAAAACTATAAGTACTTGTCAGTAATTAAACTACTGAGGACCTATTAAGTTTGCAGACAAAAATAGTGGAAACACCAGATGAAGTGTCCACTGAATGGTTGTTTAGGGCTTTAGGGAACAAAATGCAGTTTTTCTGCTCCAAAGAACTCTGAGATCTGAGTGTAGCCTCAGCACTAAACATTAAACAAATCAGCAAGTTTAAGATTATACACCATAAGTGTATCATAATTCTTACTCACATTGTCCAGATCAGGGATGTGCAGGAAGAACTCAGGGTACGGATAAGAGATGCCAACATTGTTCACTGTTAGGAAAAGGAAAAGGTTTACATCATATTGGAAATGGAAAAAAGATCTAATGAAACATCACACTGTAGAAAGTGAGAAAATCTTCCCAGTATGAAAACAAACCAGGCAAACACTTTCAATACAATTTAATATACAAAAGAATATTAAAAAAAATAATAATAAAGCAAAAATTAAGGTTCAAGCGAATCCAAACTCACCAAGGACTCCAATTTCCAGGCCTTCAAGTGCTGCTTCAATCTTTGGATAGATGTCAATCTTACCAAAATCTACAGCAACTGTCTTCGTCTCCACCTTAAAGCGACTTTCTGTGAGACAAATTAAACAATTATCAGTTTGACATTTTTGACAATATGACATGTTCATTAAGCAGCACCTGTAGGTCACTGTGTGGAAGAACACATTCTACATATGAGACAATCAGCCTTTCTTGTTCTGAACATCGTCTTTGACTTTCCTATTGCAGGAGTTCCATTCTTTGCCAGTGTACTAAAAATAGCTTGCAGAGGACAACACTGGTGGTTCAGAATGGGCTGTTTTGGACAGCAGGGGGAGCTGTGCATCAAGAAATGAGCCACTCTGCTTCCTACACCCCTCCTCTACTTCAGCTGACATGCCTGCAGCAATTAGAATGTATTGTCCAAAGACTCATTTGTCTGAACCCTGTTCGAGGGAGTTATGAGAGGAAAATTCCTCTGATCTATCACGGTGTAGAGTGCCATTATTTGAGGAGGCACAATGGAGACAGAGCTGGCTTTGGGGTGGGGAACTGCAGGCCAGTGAACATGATTTAATAGGACTATTATGTTAGCAAATATGAAATCTATTTTGAGTGAAGGTTTCCAGCTTTAAATAGCTTCGTGACTGTAGCAAAGTGGTCTTGGTGACTCCAAGCCCACGCATTGCCAGGGCATTTGGTTGAGGCGTGAGCAGAGAATGCCAGGTTTGGCAGGGAGAGACCCAGCTCGTGACTACCCATAACCCCCCGCTCCCCCCCTCCCTCCTTTCGGTGAGACTTCAGCACGACTGTGGTTATGGCAGGCTGGTAGATGCAGAGCCCCTTTCCATTTTTCCACCAGCTGCTTTATTTCTTCCTCTCTCTCAAACACCCGCTGAGGAGGAATAAAACAAAAGTACATAAAGTAAGATGCCACAAACCCTAGAAAACTTGGATGTTGGAAATTTGCTCAGGTTTGTCTACAGACAAATAAAACCTTTGCTGATATTCCAATAAGAGGAACCAACAATGATTTAGAGCTTAAACACACATGGAGTAAAGGCTGTATTAATTAATTATTCAGAGAACGCACAAGAGGGGCCAGAATTACATCTCTTCACCAGGGAAAGAGAAGGCCCCACCATTCTCACACACACACACACACACACACACACACAGTCCCTCTTCATTCAGCCTACTGAGATAGAGGGAGTGGCAGAGAGAGAGCGCTCAAGTGAACTGGCAAAGTCCATAGCGACTGCACCCTCCCATTCAGAAAAAGCAGGGCAGGCTCTGTGAAAGAGTGACTAGACTGGTGCATCTAACAGAAAAACTAGATTCTAAGTTATTGTTTCAGAAACAGTACTTTAAAAAAAAGCCATCAAAAGCAATGGCCACTACGAAAACAGGGACAATGAGAAGCATGAAAGTCTGGCTACGTGCAAAAGCGAATCAAAGGGTGTGCAGCGGGGAGGGGTGCAGACGTCAACGAGCGTTTAGACGGAGATCCTCATCTTCCTACACCCCGTGCTCTCAACCCCGAAAATTTCCATGACGACAGTCATCAGAAAGGATTGCAAGTCTTACAGGGATGGGAGTGAATGTAAAAAATGTTTATGGGCTGGAGGGGTAGGGGGGCCTGGGACAACAACAATAATATTCAGCTGGAGAGGAATTATAAAGTGGTACCTTAACTCTAAAGAGTGAAGATGGTGGGATTAGACCACCTATCCCCATATTACTGTTGTAACAGAACGTCACATCTCCACATTGGTCATGAAACATTCATAAGGTTAAAGGCAGCTAATATTTTCAAATGGTTTAAAAAAATTGATTAGACAGTTGCATGGTTTAGAAATGACAGTGACTATAGGCTCAGACAGGCTCCAGACAAAGTGTTGAAGGAGTTTCCGTGGTCAAGCTGAAAAGTTGAGCGCATCTTAAATTTCCAATTGGATGGTGGGCAGAAGTAGTGAAAATTCGTTATATTTCATTAGGGAATATCCAATGTATGTGTTTGCATCACAGGCCTAGGCTAGGTGTCAATGGGACCTCTTTTGGAGGAGATGCACAAAGGGCACCTGGAGCTCCATGTGGTGCCTAGACTGTGCGCTCCTGCCAGGCTGCATTAGCTCTCTGGCCAGTCAGCTCTCCAGGCCCCCCACCCCGCCTTTCAGGACAGCACTAAAAATAAACTCTGCTTCATTAACATTAGGAGGACTGTCCGTCATTCAGAGAGTTAGAGAGGGGTTCTGGTTCGTTCACTCAGGTGCGCATGTGTGTGTTTGCGGGAGGATGCACAAACTATAAAAAAAATAATAATAATTAAAAGAAATACACACCGAGGGACCCTGCAATGTCGTCAAGCTTCTCTTGAGAGCGACTGATGAGCATCATGGAGAATCCTCGTCGAGCAAGCTGTAAAACATGAAATAAATCAGAAATTCTATAACCCTACAAATTACATCATGTGCATTTACCCAACTGTGACAAACCTACTTACTAACTTAAAAGGTATTGAATTCAAACAATCAAATACAGCAGATCATTGCTGTCCAAAAGGAAAACACAAGTATCATCTAAATGGAAATTTTACAGGAGAAAACAAAATGTTCTTTACATTTAGTGGAGGTGAATTCAAAGAGACTTTGTTCTAATAATTTGAGCTTTTCTATTTGTCAGTTCATCATTACATTTTTACACAGTGTAAAGGGCTGCTGTTGTGCTCAAATTGTGTATAAAATTAAAAGAGAGATACTTGCCTTTTTTTTTTGGACAGCAATGTTATAGGAGGCTTACAACTATGGATAGATCCCCTTTATGCTTTTTCATAGCTTAGATGTGTTCTGCCCAGAATTCAGCTTAAAGTCCAACCCAAACTGCTAATGTTGGGTGGTACCATTACCATTATGCCAATAACACCACACTGTTTGGTGGTTATTAGTTTCTATTCATCATAAGCTCATGTTTGGTCAAGTAACCTGCCCTTGGCATGTTCATTCAGCTACATTAACACACTAACGCCAAATGTCTAGCATTTTTGATGAAGTAAACAATTTTGCAACAACTTCAGAAATTTGTTTGAGACTTCTTGAAAGTATATGTTGGCATGTAAGCAGAGAGGCCTCTTCTTCATGAGCAGTGCTCCAGTCGCCCTCCCTCCCGTGGCCTCGGAGAGAAACCCATCTCCTGTGATGAGTCACTGTGCTTTCCGTGGAGGGAGAGAAATAAATAAGTAGAGGAACCCTTACCTCCTCCGCATAGGATTTCCCAATTCCATCCGTGGCTCCCGTCACCACTGGAAAAGAAGATGGAGAGGAAGAGGTCAGGAGAAATGAACATTTTCCTCACACACAGGTACAGAGGTTGAAATGCTTTACTTTAAACATATTTCTTAAAGGCCAAGGCTGTGATTAGCCACCTCTGTCAAACAAATGAGAAGACAGATTTCTGGATGCATCTGGCATAGGCCACAACTCCTGAGCCACTTTCACTACACTAGACATGCTATGAAGGCCTTGAAATAAAAGCCTGAAAAAGCCAGTCACATTGGCTCCAGGTTGCATTGCCATCTTTGAGTGAGAAGATGCAGGTCCAATCAGAATCACTACAGTTGGCAAGGCGGTTTTAGTCCTGGAACAATTTGAACAAAATGCATAGCAGGTAAATAGCTTTCCTGTACTTTATTAAAATACTGAGCTAATTCTGGTGTGACTGTAAAGCTGTTTTTGGTAATTCCTGTCTGTAGTTTGGCTTAAGCCAATGGCCTCCATCTTTTTCCACAATGTGGCTGCATTTAAGAGGAGGAGGTAACATGAAAATGCAGGTTCACTGTACTCATTCACTTATTCATTTTGAAAGCTGTGGAGACAAAATCAAAAAGGGACACATGCAGTATTTGCCATGTTGCTCACACTTAACACTCAACTGGTGAAAGACTGATCCAGGCAGCGGTCATTCACTAGAGCAAAGCTGTCGGCTAAAAAGAGAGAAAAGAAAGGAGGGAGGGAGGGAGGGGAGTGATGACGTCCGTAGAGCCCAACAGAAAGGGAGGGGTGAGGAGGGATCCTAGGGACTGCCAAAAATAGAAACAAGAGGAGAGGAGGAGAGAGGGAGACTGCGCAAAGTCAAGGGATGAAGAGGGAGAACTCGATTCACTAGCTATTTTTAAACCCATGTTAAGAATCAAACGCTCTCTGGCTCGAAAAACTTCAATGGGCTCCACTGCACTGAAATCTGATCAGGAGCTGCAAGTGTGAAAAAAATTATTTTGAGGCTATTACAATCAGAGAACAGTATAGCATCAAACTTGCAGGGAATAGGTAAACAAGGAGTTTGTATGTACCACTGTGAATATTAAACACTGCTTACAATCCAGATCTTCCATTTACTTTATTAGGACAAAGAGATGAAACTCAAGCTTATGAAGCTTGTAAAATCATTTAATCAGTAGATTCATCACCAAAATTGTCACCTGCCAGGTGAACAGTCCTGGCTACATAACATTCTTGTGGTTACAGAGTGAAATCAAGGTTAAAATCTTGGTCTTGCATCAGTACATTGGATTCTGCACATACAGCATTCCTGTGCAGATTGGTTCCTGTAAACATTGCTCAATTTGACAGGTCAGAGCTACAGGAATTTAAGGTCACACAGTTGCATATTTTCATGTATAGAGGAATATAGGCACATGATGTAAGGTCAAAAGTCTCAATACACCACAATGCTCACAAGAAGAGGAGTTTGTTGGTCAGGTTAGGTCACAAGATTGACTCCTTTAAACCTCAGCCATGCCTTATTCAACACTTAAAAATAAAGAAGCATAAAGGTCTAATTACCAACCATAATTTCTATAAACAACCATTATATGCTTAAATGGTTCTTTGCATGGTGAAATCGTTCTTCAGATTGATGGAGAATGTGTTGTATATGGTTCCATATAGAACATTTTTGAAAATGGTTATATATATAGCACCAGAAAGGGTTCTGCTCTTTTTATGCCCTTAAGCTTGTAACAATAGCAGAACCACTCAAAAAGGTTCTATATAAAATTACATACAACACATTCTCCATCAATCTGAAGAACTAGTTTACCACGCAAAGAACCATTTAAGCATGAAACGGTTATGATTCTAAATAGAACCATTCCCTTTACTAAAGAACCCCTGAAAAAAAAAAAAAAAAACACATATTAAAGAGAGTGTACACAACATGGCTTTGATGATTAGTGATACCATTCATCACTTCAACTTAAATCAATTTAAATGGACAAATGTATTCTATTTGTTATTAACAGTTCAAAACAAAAACAAAAACTATACTGATCTATACAAGTCAATAAAAATCCAAAAGAAACTGCTCTAATGGAAGCCTCCCCCTAGCCAAGCCCACACCAGCGTTCCCGGCAGGGCTTAATTGCCCTCACGTGAGCAGTGCCATGGAGAGGATCTACGCAAGCTGCTGCGTGAGTACTACGAGAAGCACTGACGCTCGACCAGGGACATGATTCGCACGCTGCATACAAAAAGCTGAGCCTCCATTCATGTGTGCGAGTGCACAACTCTCTCTACCAGTGGAGACAATAAGAGAAAGGATAGGTGCAACAGGAGGGGCTACACTGGCCATTAAACACCAGTGAAAATGGGGCTTATGAGAAGAAATCAGTAATTCTGTGATTAACTCAGTTCTCATTCCCCCCCATACTTGTCAGCTTTAAAGGCTGTGCAGACGAGGTCGTCTGGGTCTGCTCACGAACATCACATTCAGAAATATGGACTGTCCCAGCATCGCACAGGCGCACTGGCCCTGCTCCCGTTCAATCTTCCTAAGCTAAAAAAAGCAGCGGAGTGAGTAAAAATAGCTGCTGCGTCTGGAACAGCCACTACACCTGAATACCAACAACATGCTGCCCTCCCTCCATCCCTCCCCCTCAAACCCCTCCACCCCACCCACACTCTGCTTTCCCCAGCAACCCAGCTCACCATGGAGCTCTTGCTGCACTACATTAGTGCCAGAAAAGCACTCGAAGCCCTGCTGCAGAATTCTGCTCTATTCAACAGGGCATTTCCACTTATTCTCCTCTACCTAAAAGGAAACATCGTGATGAACTGGCTCGTACATCACTGTGGAATTCTGTGGCACACTGGTTGTACACAAATAGAAACCATATAATAAAGCTTGATTAGATCTGTGGTGTATTATATAAGGTGTACTCATGACTCTCAAACAGGATCTTACTGTATGCAATCTGTCGCATCCCCCCTCACCTCCCTCCAAACCCAACCCCCCACCAAAAAAAAGAAAAAAAAAAAGGAATGAGCTCGTCCATCTTTGGCTCAGTTTTTCTGCAGAATGCTAAAACACCCACTCCTGCACCTCCTCCCACTCCCCAAAGCAGCAGATCACGCTTTAAATAGCATAGGCCTGTCACATGGCCAGGAGAAAAACTACACAGCAGAGCAGTTCAGCACCCAAAATAGCATCGCTACTCAGATAAAAAGGTGGAGTTTTTTTAAGAGGCAATGTCAGAAATAGTACCGAGAAGTCACGTTTTATATATATATCAATAGTTCTCCTCCTTTCCCAACCCCATTTTCTCTTCTGCGAAAAACCAAAATTAGAATAGACCAAAAATATGGGGTTTATAAAAAGCTGCACTGCTATTTCTATGGGGAAGATGCAGTCTTGGCAGGGACTCTTAAGAATAGTTGTTTGCCTTGTGAAAGCCCTACACATCACGCAGGCTTGAAGAACAGGTATAGCGAGGCTGTAAAGAACCTGTTCAGGGGCACCAAGGTGACTGCTTTTGCATAAATTTTCATTCCTGCTGTCAGGTACAGCCTCCCTGAAAGTGTCAGATTTGGACAAGCAAACAAAAAACAGATGACAGCTTAAGCTAGACACTACAATAGTGAGAATGTGCATGGGTTTCACCCCATTTGCCTTTTTATCCATACTGTTATTAAAATATATCTCTGTCCAATTAGGCATCTAATGTATTAGACGCCCAGCTAAATCAAACATTTGGAAGGGGTTATGGACAAAGTGTAATATTAATGCAACAAAGTGCATAAACTGATTTCAGAAGGGAAATGCCAGATGGAAGATTCCCTTTTCCTGTAAATAAATAAATAAAAGCGACTGAGTCGTGACAGAGAAGAGAAAAGGGAGGGAGGGGGTCTTGGAGGGCAAACAAGTGAGCGAGCGGGAGAGAGGGAGAGAGAGAGGGAGGGAGGGAGGGGTAGGGGGGGAGAGAGAGAGGGAGGGAGGGAGGGGTAGGGGGGGAGAGAGAGAGGGAGGGAGGGAGGGGTAGGGGGGGCGGGCGAGAGAGAGAGAGAGAGAGAGAGAGAGAGAGAGAGAGAGAGAGAGAGAGAGAGAGAGAGAGAGAGAGAGAGAGAGACACTTTAGTGATGGAGATACAGAGCGAGATGGAGGCTCAGACGGAGAGAAAAAGAAGAGGAGGAGAGAGAAGGGGAGGGGCTGCAATTTTACCCAGTATCCCTTTGCAGCACGTGGCAACGAGCGTGTTGGTCACATGAATGGCAGTGCTCTCTTTGAGAAGCCCCCCCCTTCCACTCTGTTTAATAGCAGCCCCCCAGCCGCACCCCCCCTCTATCTCTGAGCCCTTCCGCCTCCACAGCACAGGAGCCAGTCACACTGTCACCATTCACAGCACACCAAGCCTGCACATTCACAAACATGCAGCCAGAAACACGCACACAGTTGACATTCACTCACTTACAGACACAGGGGAATACATTTCATTCACATGTGCCTTGGCCTGCTATGAATGGGAATTCAGCTATTCACAAACTACAGAACTTCTCCTCTATCCCTCTTTCACAGCTTCAAACAGCTGATGCTCCAACGTTTGTGTGTTGTTGTTTGAGTTAGCAAAAGTGAGACGAAAAGCAGTCCTTGCAACAGTGACAAAATTAGAACTTTCCTATGAACATCTAAAGCCTGTATAATCCCTATACTTACTGTACTGCAGCTACCACAAAGCATGCTAACTGATTCAATATTACAAGGGTTAGCGTACAACATACATTTAGGGGAATTAGAGTATGTTACTTATAAGGGCCGAGCCAATACAAAACACCAATCAGAGGCCACAGAGAGAATGGTAACCTATTCTGAACTAATACTGTCCTCAAAGTTGAGGTTAGCCAACCCTCCCTTCTAAAAAAAGAACCCAAACACACAAAGTCTTACACCGAACATGACTTTCAACCCCCAGATGGGTGGGGGGATATGAACAAACCCAATTGGACATAGGCATCCTTATATAATCTGTGATACAGTACGACATGTGAAGGAAAATAGAGTGGGGGTGGGCTTCAACTGAAGACTCGCATGTCTGTACGAGACTCGCATGATGTAACGGCAGTTATCTTCTTCACACAAATATGCTCTAAAGAGTGGCTACACACCTCACCCTCACACGGCCTTACTTCTGCAATAAGGTAGAACCAATAACTACATTTAAACTGCTTTAATAGTTAAAGTAAGTTCAACATCTATAATCACACTGTGTAAAGGTGAGGTTCATTTACAAAGCTGTAAATGAGACAATCATGACAGCACAGGAAGCATTCATTGATTTATGACCTTCACAAGTTGAGGTGCAATGCTGAAACTTCACCGCCAGGGGTCTCCTGAACATTGTGAGCAGATGAGGAATCCCTGTACAACTGAGGGAATACTACATTCTGATGCAGCAGCATGACTCACTTTCATAACCCAAGTTAAAAGAAGAAGAGAGTGTAGCACTGCTGAACAGCCTATCTGTACCTTATGCTCTATGCTCTAAAAAAATCTTGGGAAACCTTCCGTCTAACAGCTTACTGCTTCCCAAGACCTGCAGGGAGGGGAAAAACTTGTTGGTCTGGATGGAGCACAGGCTATTGAAGGTGATGCAGAAGAACCACCCTTGCGTTTGGCAACCTCATAAATTAAAACTATTTGGGTTTGACGAAATCTATCAGAAGGAGCAGGCAGCACATATTGTTTCAAATTAGGTTAAGAAACCACTGAATCTATTAATACATTTAATTCGAATACCAATGGGCAAGACGTCATCCTGCATGAGGAAATCGTGGGGAACCTGAAACCGGCTGTTGCTCAACCTGACAGGACCAGTGCTACAGGAACTACAAGCAGAGCACCTGCATTTCACCCCAACAGTCCACCTGCATCTGAAAGCTCAGAACGTGACGCTCACTGGACGAGAATGTGAGACGAGTCAAACTGGTACCCTGACTCAGTGTTTCAGGGTGTGGCCCGAGCAGATCGCCTCGGAAACGGTATTAAGTGGCACACAGCTCGTCGAAAGGTGCAGCGAGTTGCTTTCAGGCAGCAAAAATCTTAAAAGCCTGCGCTAGAGCAGAAGAAGACACACGTCGTTTTTACCCCGAGCTCAGCTCCCTCTCTTTAACTCTATCTGTGTCATAACCAAACCCGCCGCTAGGGGGGCTTAGCGCTGAGGTGGCTCCAGCCTGCCTCTCTACCAATGCAGGACCAGGTCATACATTTATTATTATTATTTTTTTTTAATACACATCAGTATGAAAAATTATAGCGAAGTAAACGGACTACAAGTCTATCCTTTGGGGATATTTTCCACCAGGCATTTAGCGAAACTATCCCGAGCGGCTCTGAAAAAACCTCCCCTCAGCAGCCGCACGTGGTATGGACCCGCATTATAATTGAGATTGGCGTTTTAAACTGCGTCATGTTGCCAAAACCAACCTAAAGCGTCCTGCCTCATGAGCTGAGCTGTTGCGGTCGGGATTACGTGGCCATAAGAAACCCACCAAGTCATTTTTCTGTCCACTAAAACACCGAAGCGTTCACTGAAAAAAAGACTGACGCCGTGTTTGTCAGGAGACGCGCAGCGCCTGAGCACAGACGGGAAACTGGATAACTGGGTCAGGCTAGGCCGATCAAACCCAGGACGGGCAACCCTGGAGGAACTGGGTGGAAAATTAAAGTCTATAAAATATTTCTGGTCACCTTTACCGGTGATGTCCACGAGCTCTAACTTCTCATTCTTATTATTTACGCTTTAAAATGTTTGTGTAAATATAATTACCTTATAAATTAAACTGACTGTTCCAATTAATGATTTACCCCCAATATTAAGGCTAAATAGGGAGCCTGTTTCTAGACAGCTGGCTTTTCCAGCCATGATTTAGTCTGACTTCATCTCAGTGAGTCAGAAGCTGCGATTATGTGCGCGCAATCCGTGGATGTATGGCGCAATCTGTCAACCTGAGACCCTTACCGCCTCTTTATGGACCATTCGGGTGAACGTGGAGTGCTTAATTTCTCAATTAGACTAACCTGGCGGGGCTTTTTTCTTAAATTAAAAAGAAAAATCTAGATGTACTTAATTTTATCACCACAAACATGTAAAACCACATTTTGACTCTAACCACAAAATGACTCTGTTGCGGCAAAAAATGACCAAAAAGTTCAATTAGTGTTAGTTCCTAGCAAAATCCGCGAAGTTCAGTCAGTTTGAGCTGAGCGCTCAGTCGCGTTCAGATGTTGACTCAGCTGCTGAACTGAAGGGCTCCTCCGCTGTGAATGAACGGATTGAACTCACCTGCCCATTTGCCCAGTTTGGGGGAGAGCAGGTCTCCGTTGCCCAGCACCCATATCCTGAAGCCGGAGAGGAGCCGGTAGAGGATCCAGAGAGTCAGGGAGGCCGTGGTGAGCGCCCCGACCCACAGCAGGGCAGCCTCGGCCCCAGGCAGTACCTTCTCCAGCTCGCTGATCACCTCCATGCGGACGGCAGCCTGACCCACGAAAATTAGGCGACGTGCACTGATTTCACAGCCTACAACGTGCGAGCCCCTTTATAAGCAGGTTGTGGCATCACACCCCCACAACTCCTCTAACATACTAGTCTGGCCGGATTTAAGTGCACACCCCCCACCTACTCGCTCGCCGCCCCGGGCACACCCACACCCACCGGCCATTGGACGAAACTACCATCCGCCACCAGAAACTTACCACTCTTTGGTTAATTTCAGCGCCAATCACGAGGGCTCCTCTCTCATTCATCAGATTCCCTCTCCGCGAGGGGCGGGGCCAGAGCGGCGGCGGCTCAAACGGCGATTGGACAAGCGTCTCGGCAACCTCCGTTCGGGCGAGCCCATTGGCTGTGACTCAGAGCGAGGTTTTCCCGTTTCACTCAGGATTATGAAACCTCCAAATCCACGTTTTCGACTTATCAGCCCCCACTATTTTATGAATGAAGCTTTTCGCCCATTGGCCGGAGAAGCCTCTGGTCTCCCGCCTTCCGTGTGATCTCTGGGCGATACTATTTGGTGTCAGGAATGCCGTTCATGTTCATTCACGGGTGCTGGCTCACCCATGACTCATAGGCTACATTAAAAAAAAACATAACATAACAAGTGTACCGATTTAGAGCATGACGGCATTTTCTGCTACCTACTGAAAAGCAGGACGAGAACAGGCACAAGCCTGAGAAACCCTTCAGTTTATTACCAGCTACGAAATTCAGATACTGTGCGCCCTCTTTTCTACAGCACTTTCAATGTTTTCCACTGACGAGTGCAAAAAACTACAATTACCAGGCGCGCCTCTGCTGAAACCTCGCGAGAAGCGGTGGGATCTTGCTTTTACAAACACGGAAGCGAGCCTGGGATTATGTAAACAGTGAGGGAGAGAGTAGCAGAGCTGGGGAAGAAGGTTAGGAAAGAGTGCCTGACGTGATATGAAAGCACATTGAGGCTTTCCCCCCACATACGTTTATAAACAGAGCGTGTTGGACGGTGTCAGATTAACGGACATGCAGATATTTCCGCCTGTTTTAGGACTGTCAGCAGACCCTCTCTGTGTCTCTCCTTCACAGCAGCAGCAGCAGCAGCAGCAGTTTTTTTGCTCTGTACAAGGCACTCGTGTCCTGTCGCCATTCTTACTCCACTCTCATCACCACCTGAGATATAACCTAAAATTTAAGCGTGTAGAGATCAACACGAGCATGTTAACACAGGAATCGTAATCTTTACAAACTGCTTAGTACAAAAAAGTCACGGGTTCTCTGAACAAAATCATATTACAGCTGATATTTAGTATTTCAGCTCAACAGTGTTTCACCAGGCTATGACATTGTGACTCTTTGCCTCTCAAAGCTTTTTTCTGTAGCCTGTTCAGATAATTAATTGTACAAACGAGTATGTGGAAAACTGAAATACTTCAACATGTTCAAAAACTACACACTTTAGAAATGTGCTTTAATAGGATGAGACACAAATGAAGAACACAACCCAGGACTCAGTATGAAAACAAAAGCTTTTTTATTTGATCAGCAATACGACAGCAAACAAACAGGCAGCAAAAAAGCAATTTTGTTAGATATGTTAGATAAAGGCATAATACACCGTCGCCAATACTGCGTTAAGACGCCAAAGAAATACAAAGATACAACACATTTTCACAAATGAGATTTTGTAATGCACTCATTGAAATAAATGTACAGTTCGCACAGTAGCCTAAACAAATTCTGGCAGAGTTATTAAAAGGTTTTATTCACGTCTTTACCTTTGTTTTGCACATAAGAGCCACGAGTGCACAGAAACACTGCTACACACATTTATGCATATTCAAAACCACAATATTTAATCAGCACCATTTTTAACTTAACTAAATAAAACATATTAGATAATAAGTGGGCTGTAATTATAATTATATATTTTAAAAGGCTCGGTTAAATTACGATATTGTTGGAAACATTGCTGCTGCTATCTATTGTGTACACCGCGTGTGTGTTCAGACGTTCAGACGTGATCACTGTGTGTGTCGTGTTTCACTGTGTGCCTATTTTTATGCAAAATAAAATCATTCATATTAATAAAGGCAAAGATACTCCACCGAAACGCTATATGCACGTTCACCTATTCTCACCCCTCTTATAGTATCGACGCATTCACATGTCCAAGTCTCAGCATTGCCCCTGGTTTCTGCGTCTTTTTGTGCCATTCACACTTTAAAATTATTTGCGTAACTCTCAGGGAATTTACTTTTTTGGACAACGTGTGCCCTGGACACAAGCCCTGGACGTTATTTAAGAATGTGCAGTTACTGTATCGATACGGATCCAAACAGTCAATGGCAAGCATTAAATTAATTATACATTTATTTTTACATAGCGTACAGTCTGAGTGAATAGGTGTAAATAAAATATATGCGTAAAGAGCTTGGCTGAGTGGCCGTGGCCCTCGGAGCGCGGACATTTCAGCACCAGTAGCGATGGACAGCGACGCTCCTCACCAGTAGAACTGCATGGCTCTCTCTCACACATACTCTCCTCTTCAGCCCTCAAACAGAGTCCTCAGAATGACCACTTGTAAAATTCAAACGAGCCACTGCGTGTGAATAATATGTCTGGTGTAGGTTGTCTTATCTAATTCCTAAAAAACGCATCTCCATACTACACATGTGCTGTTATACTCAGTTCACAGCTACGGAGCCGCATCTTTACGCACCGCTATAACACGTCCCAACAAACCACTTTGCTGTCCTTTATGAAACCAGCTAAGACCACACATTCCAGCCTAACTAGTCATGTAGCATTCTTTTTTTCCCTACGTGCCCCTGCCATTCAACATAGCCTACTCAAAGACACGTCCAGCGCACGTCCAAACACAGCTGCCTGAATTTGTAAGCGCTAATATACAAATTCACACAGTCGACAGTGCTTTTACTTCCTCCTACATTGTTTAAATCACATCTCAGTTATCGCCTTATTCACTTTACTTTTACAGAATGGTCTCAAAGGGCATCATATGCATTAAAACACTGACAAAAAAATTATAGCGTTCATAATGTTCCCTAACTACTCCAAACACAAGCCCTCTAGAAACAGAGGTTTAAATATTAAATACCTGACGGTGTCAAATAGCTCCTTAATTAATCCTCTGCCCTCTGCGCGTGTAGAGCAGACAGGGACGAATTTTACTGGACTTCTCCATGTCCCATGCTCATTCCCATCTAGCTCATCTGTGAAAAAACAAGAGAGGAAAGTCGAAAGAATATGTTTACTATTTGCTGCCTCACTTGAATTGCATTTGTAAACTATCAACAGTCTCAATTCATGAATAAATCAAATAAACAGAGCCAGGACGAATTATTTGTTCATAATTTTACATTTAACCACAAAATGAAAGAAAACAGCATCCTACATTTTTTCCACTTCCATCTACAATTAATATATATTCTTGTGTTTAAAAAATTTAAATTATTACTTGTTGGAGGTTTTTGTACGTACACTCAGTCCCAGCATGAAGTGGAATCATCATTAAAGAAAGATTTTGGACTTACGTGCTTACACTGGCCACTGTCAGTTTTTTACAGATGCATAGCCACAGGAGTGATGATCAGTATGAGTTTCTGACACAAAAGGAAACAAAACACATACAAAAACACAATCAATGCATATAATAATATCAGCCAAATGACAGGCATTAAATTATATTATTTCACTGTTATCAATAGACAGATGGACAGACAGATATATACATATATACATATATACACACATACACATACATAGTCAAGCAGTTACACACAAACGCACACACACAAACACATTGACAGACAGGTAGATACAGACATACACACACACACATGGTCAGGCCGACCTAGGCGTATACTCGTACACACACACACACACACGGAGAGACAAAGATATAGACGTACACACACACGCACACATACTTTGCATACAGTTATTATGAACATCTAAAACATCAAATAATATTGCATCAATTCCCCTCTGTTTTCTCACTAAACCTTAATATGTCCTTCTGCACTTTACCTCATTCAGTTATCTTACAGTCTCCTTACATTACAGTCTGTGCTACTTTAGTGACTTAGGACATGTAACGGACACTCAGAGTTTGTTTTATCAACACCTCTGCACACACACACACGCACACACACACACACACACACACACACATCTGTGCATATACGTACACCCACAGTGTTGATATGGAGCATGTGCGCATGCATGGTTTACATATAAGAATCATAGCTGCACCCATTCGATTAAACCCTTACAGCAACTCATTCAGTTCTTTGTAAAAGCATACTCGGCTCACAAGCTTATACACAGAAAACTATACATATGAGATTACATATACACTAACCATGACTTTTATATGATAAATAATCCATACGTTATTCTGCAGTTCTGGGCTTATCTATCCAACCAATTTACTCATAAAAGCATTTATTTTGTTACTCTGGGCATGTCTACCCAACCAATTTACTAGCATTAACAATAGAACGTTTTCAGTAATTTTGCTAATGTTTTGTGTCTGAGCTATGAGTACATATGAGGGTCAGCTTTAGAGTATAGCCACAGATTTTAAAATACCTTTTTAGACATTAAGATGGCTAATGGTTCCCGGAGAAATCGTTCAGAGCTTATTTGAACAGAACCATAATTGAACATGCTTCCTCGAACCTGCACAATAGAAACCCACTGATCTCTACATGGAGCACATGGCATTTTCACATTTTCAGTAGTGAATGACATTCTGATGAAAGAGCTTTAAAAAGCCTCAGTAAAGCAGAATCCTAGCCAGAAGCAGATCTAGCTCTGATTAAACAGAAAGGGAGCATGATAAATATAAATAATATAAATATAAAAGTACATATTTCTGCATTATATTAGGTGCAGGCTTTCACTGTTGTTTCAGTGGGAAAAACCTACAGCACAGACAAGGCCTGTCAGTTACATACATTGTTAGGGGACCTTTTTTAGACACCTTCACTTTCCATACACACAAAACAAAAAGACACAATTTAAACAATTAATCTAGAGCTAAATGTAAATGTAATATAAAGTCTGTACAGGCCAGACATATTTAAAATGATGGCACTCCCTCACAGCAAGCTCGGTAATCTTAGCCAGCACATGTGCTCCTCCGTCTGTCCCTGAACTCACATCCACACATCCTGAAACCACTCTGATACACACTCTTTTAGTGACGGAACAAATGATACACACAAAGACAAATATACAGTCACACACAGTTACAAATACAGACTCAAACAGCACTGCACAGCTCCACACAAATATGATCTTTCACTCATATACATGCACTCTGACTTCATACAAAGCACGGTTAATGTCACAGACACACTTTGGACCATCACATGCACACACACACACACTAATATGCACATGGTCATAGAGCACGCACTCATGTATACATCCTTGTACACACTATATATGTTCACACACTCAAATTCAAACACATTCTGAGACCACTAGTGAAAATGCTTCTGTTTTGCATTCCTTTCTAATTTAATACAAAGTTAAGTTTTATTACAAATTACATCATCAGCATAACAGTCTTAAATCTCTTAATCTTGAAAATTTAACCATAAGAATTTCTTAGTGTTTGTCAGACTTTTGATTTAATGACAGCGTGCACTCAATCTGGCATGAACTTCTGACTAACAGTGACAAAAGCCTCTGATGAGTAGATCAAAACTACTTGAGACTCATCTGCTACAACTGAAGGAATAAGAGTAAAAAATCTGACCCTTTGCACAAAGTCTTTAACATGGTTAATATCACGTATTTGCTTACGGTTGAATAATGACCTATAAATAGTGCAGAATCTTTTGTCTTCTTCATTTTACTTGTCATAACTTTTCATTTTCAAATTTTCAAATTAATAATATTTTCTGTTCTTTGTTTCCAGGATTAAACAAAAAAAATCCCATATTAAGAGAGATGCAGTCTCAGACCTTTGGACTCCACGGCACCATAACATAATAAGCCACACATGCACACATTATATATGTGCACACAACCATAATACAAACAAACACATTCCTAATAGACTAAACCACAGACACACACGCACACACACACACACACACACAGTGCTACGCTGCTGAACTGTCCACACAATGAAATGGCCACTCAGGGTAGTCAGTATGTCTGTATCTTTTCACCTCCTCTATAAGCACATGGTCAGAAAAGCTCCAAACCCTCCTGCCAGTTATATCTACCACAATTCTAAAATTATAATAATATTCTACAGCTGTAACAGAGCTGCTTTCACAGTCTGGAGTTACGACACAGCTTAGTGACAGATTGATGTAATAAGTTTACAGTGCATCAGCTGTCACATCACAACTACTGAAGACAATGTCCAGAAAATACTTGTAAATAATCCTAAGAGCCTTAATGAATTTATTTATTACAGACCGGTGAGCTCTTATTGCTGTTCACCCTGATCTGACGTCGCAAGAAAACTTTGTCAACCTCATGTGAACCGAGAGTTTCTAGGAAAAAACCTAAAGACTGCACCACTCTAAACACAAAGGCTTAAAACAATAGAAGTTTAAATACCTTACTGTATCATCCTCTCTTTGAATAAGCAGCTGAAATATCCTTTACTGGTAAGGAACAAAAACCAGTGGATTGATCAGGAGGGATCCAACTTCTTGTGCACTTTATTCAAATTTTATACCACCTGTGAAAACATGAACAGATCAGAACATCAAAATATGTTTATCACCCTCACTTACATTAGTCTCATTCCAAACTAAACACAATTTTACTTACATATTACTAACTTACTATGCTTTCATATTTCAGCCTTACAATGTGATGCATGCTTCCAGCTATAAGGCTCCAGCTCTTATTATGACATTTGTACATTGTACATTTATTAACTGTATCATTTTTATGTTGCAGTAGTGTCTGTTCATGCGTACAGATGAGCTTTCATGCAGCAATGCAGACAGACACAGCAGAGCGATATAATGTATCTGCACTTTGAGCTAGGAAGGTATATGAATTCTAGACGTCAAAACAGGAGGGGTTGAGGTTTGTTTTCTGAGGCAAAAGAGGAAAAATATATGTATAGCGGCATTATTCTGCACATATGAATGAATATGAAGTAACTGACAGCCAGTTAGAGAAGTTTTTGTTTTTGCTGTTTTTTTTTTTACATAGACACAATAATGCACACATACCTACACACACATACACTCTTACACACATACATACTCATACATACATATATACTTAAGCTTGAACTCCCACCATACACACACACACATGCACACACACACACACACACTCACTTGGTCGCACTCAGAGCGGTCAAACAACATGAACACAGCAATGCAAAAACTCCTCTAATTTCTCCTCAAACTGGTTTCTCCTCAAACTAGTAGATGTTACGTTAGGTTTTACATTTTTACAGCTACATTCATGTTATTAAGGACACTAAAAGAGCAAATGAGCAATCTTTCAAAGTAGGCTCATAGTTGAGTAGAATTAAGACACAAAATTCTGAGTACAATTAACCACACATATATTCATATATCTCCTATAGACTCAATATTTATTGTCTCAGCTATAAAACATTGTGTGCTGGAGTAAACTGCACTGAAGTATTGTTAAACTGTCTTTATGTGTTTCAGATTCAAACGACATACATTAACTTAAAATAAAACTGCACTTGAACAGTAAAAGCCTCAGCCTGAAAAACATGTTAGTGTAAAATATGATCCAATATGAGAACTTCTTTGATTGACTGTCCAGCTCTGATGAACGCAGAGAGCCGAGTGTTACAATAAAGGCACCGTTACTGCATTTCACCAGCCTCAGTGACCCTTCAGGAAAAAAAGGAAATAAAAAATAAAATTTATAGTAACTCTGTATTCTATCCTGATGAAGTAATGATATCGTATTGTTTGTAAATTTGGGATCTGCTGAGAAAAGTCTCTGTCGTCTGTCTTAACGCATGTGTACCTCTTGAAAGGGTGCTGCGTCACACACTGTTAGTGATAAGCTGTGATGGCCAAAAGACACACTTTCACAAAATATACACACACACATACACAGCCCCACACAAGACTTATACAAATACAACACATGTCTACATCTTTCTCTGTCTCTTCCCCTCTCTCTCTCTCTCCCTCTCTATCTCCCGCTCATTCTCTCTCTCATGCACGCAGACCCTGAGAGGTCAAGCAGTGTGTATGATGTTTACAATAATCACTACTATATACTTTCAAATTATTGTGAATTTAACTCCCTCCAAATGTGTTATTAGTACACAGAATTCAAACTGGGTCTGTCATACAATATGTAAGCCACGTTTTACCCCATATATATTTTTCCTATGCACATTCTGTCTTAAAATTTCGAATCAATAATTCATTAATATATGCCTGGATTGCTAGTCAGATGCAGTTTCTTGTTTCTTTTTTTTTAGATAAACACTCACCTTTCACAGGTAATAGATCTTAAAGTACCTGTTCAAAACCTGATTTGAAGACAGCCTCAATGTCATAAAATTTACAAACCTACATAATAGAGAGGCTATGCTCTCTGCACTGTACATCTGCCACTTCCAGTACTAATTAAATAATTGTTCATTTTAAGAAGAACACACTGAGCATGACATTGTGATCAGATACGTTCTTACGCTTCCTCACTTCATCACAAAGAGTTATTACCAGAACTACTGATTAAAATCATTCTGAATCTGTATGTTTGAAATGCTGGCTGTAATTATCGATTGTAATGATCAACTGAAATAACATTCTTCTGTCTGAAACTATATATACATAGAGAGAGAGAGAAAGAGATGGACAGCCAGCCAGACAGACACACACGTGCAAAGGCATAACACACTTTTTTTTTGCACAGAGACAACCTTCACACACTCAGGCTCACACATGGAGTCTCATATACAATTTAAAGCACAAAGCAAATGAAGCAGTTAATTCCAAAATACGTTATTCTCCACTTTTAAGATATCCTTTATCCTTTTCATGATATACATTGTTGGGAGTGGGCTTTATGCATACAAGAAATATTAGTGCTGTATTATGATAAATAATGACCTTTATTAGAGAAATAAAAATGTTTATTTTGACAAAGAATTTTATACCTAAGTTGTTATTCTTTTCAAAACTCTGCCTGCTACTGCCAGATATATATATATATATATATATATATATATATATATATATCTTCTCTAAAAGATATTTCTCTAAATTTACAATTTTATACAGTCATTTTTGTATATATGTATACATTATACGCCCACTGCTGCTACTATAGCACTGCCTCTCATGTTTAAAGTCATGTCAGTATTATGTATATATTAGATATACAGCATTTTTAACAAAACTCTTCAAATGTGTAAAACCTACAAAATCTTCAACAATAAAACTCAAATCTTCACTCCAGCTTCAGTTCTCAGCCCCTACTACACATACTCACTGGTATACAGGCATGCAAGCTTAAGTCTCTATTCAGTCCCCCACACACACAATCACACACGTACACACACACGCACACTGAAATGGCTGCTCATGACGGTCAGTCTGGCTATATCTGTCTCTCTGTAACAAAAAACAATACAGTCAGACCATCTTTATGTCTTTTTAGACTCATGCAGTGAAATTCTGGTTCTACATAATTAAAAGTGACTCAGAATGAGAACAGATTGACCTAATGGGTTACAATGTACGTCAGGTTTTTTTTTTGTAATTTCTCTACATTTACAATTTTATACAGTCATTTTTGTATATATGTATACATTATACGCCCACTGCTGCTACTATAGCACTGCCTCTCATGTTTAAAGTCAGTGGTCAGTCTTATGTATTCTTCTAGCAGTTATAAATTCTACTCCAACCTTACTTCACATTTAAGACTTGGCAAAACATGTAGGCACCTATGCAGACCCTTTCCCATTTAATACAAAGTAATAGAAAACATAATTCTATTTTATATACAGAATAGTACAAAATATAGTTCTCTCAGTATAGTTGGTACACTTTAGAATGTAAGTTCTTAATCTTTAAATAAAGTAAATGGATCTTGGCTTTAATGTACAGATATCAAAAAGACTTAAAGCTTAAAAAAATCAGTATAGAACCTTTACATTGTGTAGAAGTTCTTTAAACTTCTAAAGGGGAAAGAAAAGTTTCCATTTAAAGGTTCTTCAAGGAACTAAAATATGTTCCTCTATTGCATTACTCCAGAGAAACATTTTTGGAGACTTTATTTTTATGTTAGTATTTCCTTTGTTATAATAGTTGTATAGAATAGTTAGAATAGTTGGTACATTCTTGAAAATAAAGGTTCTTAAATGAGTCTTAAATAAAATAACTTGGACGTACAGTTCTAGGTAATACCTTTAACTGATATAGAAGCTTTACATAATGTGCTGTTTCTTTAAACTTTAATATGTTTTCAAAAGGCATCCATTGAAAGGTTCTTTAGGAAACCAAAAGTGGTTCTTCTCAAGCACTGCTCTATTTTAAGAGTTTATAATAGTTATCTTAGAATGGTAGTTGAATAATCTCTTGTCAAAAGGCTCTTTTCTGAAACCGATTCAAGAATTAATATAAATATTCAAGAATTATTTTAAACTATGAATTAGCTAAGTTGAGATAGTCTGGATCTTTTGCTTCTCTCTCCTCTTCTCTACATGGCCAGGGTTTTACTAAAACAACTACCTCAGTTTATATTCCCCTACGCAGTCTCCTTTTCTCTACAGGTATGCACACAACTCCTCTAGAGTTCTCTATCAAGACAATATTTTCAAAACCAAATGTCTCATATATATATACAAGTTTTTTTTCCATCAGAAAAGCTACATTTTTTTATTAGATTTTCTGAAAGGGATCATTCATCTCTTGCTAAATTTACTAAAACATTGATGTCTCAGATGATACTGATGAATACTTAAAGGTATAGGATGTTTACTCTGCATTATTAGAATATAAAATAATTGACATAAGAAAATCTACAATGTTTTGCATGATTATTTTGACAAATCTGAGGTGTTCACCCATTTAACTTGAGGGAAACTCTTTTTTTCTGTATGGTTTTGTGGTATCACTTTATGTTCTCTATTCAGAATCCCCCTATATTCAAAAAATGTATTTCTAAACAAAGTCTACATCAAATGATACACATTTTCCAGAATACTTTAAGAGCAGTGGAAAAAGAATATTTAACATACATTATTAGGATTATTTTGATGGAATGTAGAAGCTGGATACATTTTTGAATTAGTTCATTGCTTAAAAAGTGAGAGTTCTTTTTTTAAAGATGTTAATATTAGGCTGTTAAATACTCTTTTAAAGTGTAAAGTCTATGAAAAAAAGAATTTACTGACATTTGCATTACTTTTACATTGTGCTGGTAGTCACAGAATGGTGAATTGTCAGTGAAGGGTAAGATGAGACTGACCAATTGAAACCTAACTATGTTTTGCATTTTAAAGCCTCCTCTGTTTTTTCTCTCTTTGTTTGCTCTGAGCTAAATGGGCGGCAGGTGATACCTAACTGTGATAACTGATTCATCCATTTTATTCTGGATCTCAGTACACGCCCTTATCCTCCCTCTCTCTCCTCTCTCCTCCCTGCAGAAAGACGGTATGGTACTGCACCCGTCCTGCTCTGGCCTGGACCTCTTCTCACTCACAAATATCCTACAATTCAAAGGTGAAAAACACTGATTAATAAAGGCAAATCTACTCATCACAGTGCATCACTCAGGTAGGCTTTCTGTAAAACCAGACCTCTACTGAGGGACTTTAGCTTCACTCTGCCTCTCCAGCCATACGTCTGAAATTCAGAACTGATTTAGTGACTATGTATTTCACCACATTTATTAATACAAACTGTATCATGAAACTGTCTCATGTTTATATAAACTTGTATGAGTAGTAGTTTTCTCGAAAGGTCTCAGCTGAGTCTCACACATGCAGCAGTATCACTCACTGTATGGCTGCCCGTGCCACTCCGCAGCAGCACAGATTGTCTCATTACTGTGATTATGATACAATGTGAGAATTTAATTCATTATCTCTGTTTTTTCTTCTCTCTTAAAATAGGACCTGTACAAACGTCTTTTACAGACTTCTGTTACTTAAGAATAAAGTTTGCATTGCAGTCATTGCAGTAATTGCATAATAAGCCTTGTGATGTAACAAACCTGGAATTTTAAGGGATTCATTAGTACAGTACAGTAAAAAGTGTTTTAAGGTAAGGTAAGATAAACTTTTACAAAGGTAAAGATGTAAGTTGAATTCTGGTTGTATTATGTTTAATGTGTATGGAAGAATGATGTCTTCAAATACCTCAAATATGTATTTTTAGCATTTGTATACATACGTCACATGTAACTAGGGCTCAGCAACATGACGATATATATAGTTATCATGATGAATTATATTACAATACAATATAATATACTTTTCTGAACATATCGTGTATATCATCACTACTTGCAGAACACTGACCAACTGCATGTTTCATTATAAAGAGCAGCAAAATTAATCTCATTTAACTGGATTTAGCGCAACACAGTATGCCAAATACTGAATAATCATTGTATTCACAGTTTCTGATAATATTTGTTTAAAATGTAGCGCTACTTCTTCTTTTTTTCTCCGTTCCAACTGATCAGATGTCTGAAAAAATAAAATTTGTGACATAATCTCGAAGTAACGCAATATTATATTTTTGCGATATCACCCATCTCCATGTTTAACTGTGATATAATTAATATAATTAAAAATAATAAATAGACCTGTGGGTGATAAAAAGAGTGATAAAGTGTCAAAACTTAACAGTTAAAAGTAAATATTTGTTAACTCATTCAGTAATCCATCCACTAGGAATATTGCTAATACTGGCAAACATGAAAACAGAATTACAATCTGAACGTATATATTGTAAAAGCAGCCTTGTAGAAATCTGTTTATTTCATGTTCAATAGTTAGTTTTCTCTTAAAATCCTATTCACACATTAGTAATGAATTTAAACTTTTTTTTAAGTTGCCTCAATAAGAATAGAAACAGGGAGATGTTATATAAAAATGCCAGCGAGGCAGCTGAGTTAAGAGCGTGTGATGGGCACACAAACACTCTAATGCTGTGTATGAGTAAAACTAATGGCTGAGGTTTTAAAATGGCGTCCGTAGGGTTTTGCATTATTATTATTAATAATATTACTGTGAGCATATATAGTTTGATGAGTGTATGGATCGTCTGAGTCTGGTTCACCTGATCCAGTCACGTCATAGGACCCCCCTCACAGGTAGCAGAGGACCCCCTCCCTTCCTGAACCCCGCCTGATTCTGACTCATCCCTCACACCTTCCCTGAGTCATATGCTCAAACTTCTATAGAGAACAATCTGCCGTCCTACAGTAAATCTGCTCATCAGACTTGTTTATAGAGACCAGCTCGCTGTATACAGCAATAACTGTTTACAGGGCAGACAAAGAAAGATCAAAGTTCCTTAAGCACAGTCTCAACAACATCTCTCTTCAACCGATCATCTGTCCAGGGATAATGGTTGAATTTGAACTTTTTATCTAAGACAGATGATGAAGTGTCCATTGTCCTTGTCAGTGGTGAACTGTCCACTGTTCCAGCTGATGTATGAATGCATAAATGAAGAATTAAATAAATAATAGAATAAAATAAATGCAATAAACAGTGATCTGTCCAGGGATAATGGTTGAAATTTAACTTATTACCTAGGATAGATGATGAAGTGTCCATTGTTCTTGCTAATAATGAACTGTCCAGTGTCGTAGCCAATGTATGAATTCTTAAATGAAGAATAAATAAATAATGCAATAAAATAAATACAATAAACAGTCACCTGTCCCGCAATAACAGTGGAAAGTTAACTTATTATCTAGGATAGATGATGCCATGTCCATTGTTCTTGCTAATAATGAACTGTCCACTGTCCCAGCTAAAGTATGAAGGTACAAATAAATAAATAAATAAATAAAAAGATCTTTTCAGGAATAATGGATAAAATAAAATTTAACTTATTATCTAATACAGATAATAAAGTGTCCATTGTCCTTGTCTGTGCTGTCCTGTCAATTGACCTGAAGTCAATACTTGAAGGCATGAATGAAGAAAATAATAAACAATATATTTAGAAATAACGCATGCTAGTAGACCCCTGTATTTACTAATTAGAATGCCGACAACTTCCCACAAATCAAAAGCAAAATGAAATCACACAATGTTTGTGAAGAAGCGTTAATATTTCGAAGGCCACCATACCATTATGTGGAAGCAGAAAACTTGTGGCTCCTCAGGCTCCAAGGTCTGTCCATCTAAATAAAGATAAAAATTGATAGCAGGGCAATAAGAGACAAAATGAAAGTAAGCGGATTTGTGTTTTTGCATTAACTCTAAGACATAAACAAAGTCTTTATTTGAATTGAGTGCTGACGTTACAGTATAGTTGTAACTACACGATCAGGCAAATACAGTATCAAGTTTTCCTTTATATGGACCCTGAATTATCTAAATCATGCTTGCTATTACAGATAATAAATTAAAATATTTTTAAAAAGCCATTGTTTCCCATTGTTCGGACACTAACACATAGTGGCTTGGAAATGGAATACAAATGTTTGCAAGCCAACTAAGTGAAAACTCTAAAGAAAGGCAGGGCAGAGGTAGAAGCTAGTTTGAAACCAAACTTGTCACATAATGGTGTAGCAAGTAGCTTCTGGTCAACACAATTTATCTCCATGGACCAGCTTAAAGGCAGTTGAGTCCATCCCTTAGCTCAGAGAACTCCACCCTCATCACTGATCTGAACAGTACTGGAAGAGACACAGTAGACTAAAAAGATTTGACTGACTGAAATCAGCTACAACAATTACAAGTCTAGTACACAGTACGTGTGACCACATCTCAGCTGGATGCAATTCCAATTGCAAGTATTACAGTATTCTCCCTATTGCAAATGAAATGTATGGTTAAACTGATTCACAAAGGGTTAGTGAGGCCTTTCTGTGAGTTTGTACAAATCTATATGGCTTAATCAGCACAGAGTCACGCTAATCTCAGCCTTGAAGATGTCGTCTTCTTCTCAAGCTCCTTTTCAATACCTCCAGTCTAAGACGAGTGTAACGTTCATTCTGTTTTTATCACAGATCTAGTTTGTGGATGAACATCAAAAAGTATCCCTGCAGCTGAAGGGGTTTATATATATCTATATGATTATATAAATGTGTGTGATTTTTTTATTGAAATGGTAGACATCTGTTTTCTGTGGTAAGCTGAAACTCAGATGGTGGATCAAATGAAGCAGAGAGCTGCAGCCCTACAGCCAACCAAAAAATGTACAAATATATATATATATATATATATATATATATGTATATGTAAATACACATATATACATATATGTGTATATACAATGACACAATATAGTACATCATACTGTTACACACATACACAAACACACCACAGATGCAACAACTCATCAGATCGGAACCTGAACTTTTAGTTGGATTTCTATTCAACCACAAATAGAATGGGGAAAGTGTTTTTGTGTAAAATAAAAGCTGCCCTACAACATACTATACTGTGCAAAAGTCAGAGACCACCCTTCCTTTATTTAATTTCCAGTTAAAATGGCCATTAAGTAATTCACTTTTCAGAGTCAGGAAAAGAGTAGAAAACATATATTTAACAGAAAATTACACAGAAATCTCAACAAGTAAATGTAATATCAATTTCCGTGCTGATGGTTGTAGTGGTCTACCATGTCTTGTAATATTGTTAGAAGTTGCATTTTCTCCACAGGTTTTAATAACTATATACTTTAATAACAATTTTGGCAACTGTTTTTTTTCCACTTATTTTCCTTTGTCTTTCCCCTTCCTTATAAAACTGGATCATCCTTGTATCAATATCAATCAGAAATATCCTGAAAAATTAACAACTTGTACTTAGTGGTTGTTTTGACTGGAAATGAAATCAATGAAGGATGGTCTCTGATTTTTGCACAGTGCCGTACTTCAACAAAACTGGTTTACTTGTTACAAAAAGGCAAAAAAGTCAAGGCTGTCAGCTCAGCCACCTTGACACATACAGTCAGGTTAAAGCTTCACATACCTATGTGTGCATGTGTGTGTGAGTGTGTGTGTGTGAGTGTGTGTGCTGTGTATGTGTGTTTGTGTGTGTGTGAGTGTGTGTGCTGTGAGTGTGTGTGCATGTGTGTGTGTGTGTGTGTGTGTGAGAGAGAGAGAGACAAAAAGAGAGAAAGTGTGTGTGTGTGTGTAAATGTGTGCGTACCACAATACGTGCCTGCAAGTGTGTGTGAGTGCATGCATATGTGTGTGTGGTGTGTGTGTGTGTGTGTGTGTGTTTGTGTGTATGCACATGTACATTTTTAAATTAATAAAAATCAGGTTAGAAACTGTTCAAGGAGAAAAAGCGATTCAAGCCCTCGCTCTCTTTCACCGTCACAATGGTGTAAAAGTCCACATTAGCTCATCATCTACCAAAATATCCACATATGTAACCCTGTTCACCCACAAACCACATCAGCTCTTCCAACTGATCAAAACTTCAGAAATCTCACAGATAGTTACAATTAATAAACAGAATCTATCTCTGTGGACCACACCCAGCTATGCCACCAGTGTCTTACAATGTCCTTCACAGTGTGGGGCCAGGCAAAACTCCATGGGCATCCTATGTAAACTGTTTGTTGAGAGTTTAATTAAGAAAGTGTGACAGGTTTGACAGGCTAATTATCACATTTCCAGATAGATTGCATTGAGCCTTTAAGACTGTATGTGCTTACAGCAGTTACACAGTGCAAATGCCATTACACAAGTACTAAATAAAGAAGCAACAGTAAAATGAAAGGATGGGTTAATGATAAAAGCAAAAAACAAACACATAGCACCTTTTAAAAGTGGAAAACTTACAGAGGCTGGTGAGAATAATGTGGATGGAGGAGCACAAGCGAGGTGCCGGGTGGCCTGAGAAGATCTGGCATCTTTCAGTGGCAGTGAAGAAACTTCTCAAGGTTTCTGTCCAATTACACTGAAAGCAAAATAAACCACAAAGATTTAGATATACCTTAGTGAAAAGTGGAAAGGAAGCTGAAAAAGGATGAATGAGTGAATGAGAACCTTTGCCAAAGAACATGGACAAAATCATGAATGAACATCCAGAAAACATATAGGTTTGATAGATGTTCAGACAGAAGGAAGAAGTGACTGATACCAACAACTTCAGTGCATCACCGAGTCACGAACGTCTCTCTCTCTGCACACACACACACACACACACACACACATATATGTATATATATATATATATATATATATATATATATATATATATATATATATGAGAAAGGTGATTCGACACACAGGCTCTTGTGTGTGTGTGTGGTCGCTTTGTCTGTCACACACAGCTCAGCACGCGCACGGGGCCATTAACTCTCGGCTGCTTTTGGCTGACTCAATTCTTTGGTAGTTCGACTATAATTCTTTTCTATTTGTTATCATTTTTAAAATATGTGTTACTATTTTTGTGCATCACATAATATCGTCTTTGCCGCTCGTCGAATGGTTTGCGTCTTTTTTTAGCACTGGAGGATCAGCTGGACCCTCCACAAGGAGCCCAAGCGACCCTTGTATCAAATGATATTGTTTCAAATTAATATTACATGTTTTACTCACAATTTTCAAGCCATTTAGTTCTATTTTTCAGCCCAGAAAATCGTATTTATGATTAAGGGCGCTGGGAGGAGACGGGGTGAAGGAGAGACGCTGAGGAAGTTTTCTGCACCGTAACTTCAGACCACACACCACCTCACTAATGATGACAGCTAATAAAAATAGCATTTTACCCCAGAGCCTACAGGACCTTATCTCTGAACATGACCGTTCAGCTCATGAGGTGGTCACTTCAATCAAAAACCAACGCACTCCTTAGCTGTTTCTGACGTGACGTTTCATGGATGATTGTGTCTTATCTATTAAAAATAATGTGTAGACGTTTATAAGCTAGTTAAGCTGTTGGGTGGTCCGGTATATTGGTAGATTATCGTCCTACACGGTCAGGAGCTGGAGACGCTATGGACGACTGCAAAGGGCCTTGTATCCCGTCTTTACAGATGAGTTTGACCTACCTCTGTGTTTGTATATTACTGTCATTGGAAATTAAAGCTATTTTCAGTCGTGAGACCCTTCTGCTTACACCGAGCACACCTCCCTCAACCCCGTTGAGAAGCGACTGAGCTGAAGTAGCTGTTCAGGTTTCTCGGGGTTATTCTCGTCATTCGGGGCCTCTCGGGTCTCCTGAGCGTGATGAAGAATTTTTTATATGTATTTTCAATACAACAGCTATCTAGTTTAATGTCATCTGTTACCTGATTGGAGTTTACTCAAACGTATTATGGAGGTCACTCGCCTTGACCAACTGGAGCCACTCTCGTTTCCTTTAATTGACCAACTTATCACGCAATACATACGTATCATGAACCAAAGTCAACCCAGCTTATTCAAGACAATCGTCAATCGTTAAATGCGTTGCCCATTAGAGTGAACTCAAGCAAATGGGATGACACAATGGTCTACGTCACACACTGGGCAGACTTTGATTTCTCAGATCTCGGGGGTTACTGACTCTTTACACGAGCGAAGACAGACTCGAGAGCACGTGTTACAGCTCACTCTTGAGTTGTAATGAAATTGTGGACTACGTATCGTTTACGCTGAGCAGGGGAAGTGACGTCTTTTACAAATCTACGTCAAAAAGGCCAATCATGTGACCAAGACCACGGGGAGACGCCTTTTTAAAACACTTAGCTTGTTAGGTCCTGGTCACTAAATCATTTTGGACGGTACTTCTTGCAAGGGGTGGCCATAATAAGGTAAAATAGAGGCAACAGTTTAAGGAGTGGATCCCACGAGAATTAAAACTCGTAGCTACGAGTTATGTAAGTGGTGGATAGTCCTGAGACACGTTGAGGCCACGTCTTGCGGACATGATATATTAACACACACACACACACACACACACACACACACACACACACACACACACACAGAGAGAGAGAGAGAGAGAGAGAAACTAGCCTCCTTGGCTCTCTGTACAGTTATTTGTTATTTGCCTGCAGTTATCAGAGTCTTTATTATGGGCAGTATGTTGAGTTACTGAATGATGGGGATTTCATAGTGGTGTTACAACTGCTCGTGAGCCTGTGTGTGTGTGTGTGTGTGAGAGAGAGGGTGAAATATTGGAGGATTGGTGTATTCTCAGGGCCCCTATCATGACGTACAGGCTCACGGTGACGCTTGCAGTGCCACGCGTTGGCACCCTGTCATCTATATGCTGATAATTCAGAATGTACTTAGGAAGCTGGTATGCGTGGATAAACAGTATGGAACCTGTGCGTGGTTGCAAAAGGGGTGGGGTCATTTCGACATTGTTTGGTTTCAAAATTGAATTGTATACAAACGAAATGCCCCCTCCCTTTCTTTGCCCATGCCCCCCCACCCCCTAAATTGGACCTCTGTGTTTTCCCACGTGCGGACTGCTGGAGCCCCGTTGGTGGATGTGGGATGTTGTTTGGGTGACTTTTCTGCAGCCGTATGTGTGTGTGTGTGTGTGTGTGTGTGTGTTCAGGGGCGAACTGGAGACGCCAGAAAAACTCTCGACTGAGCGAGAGAAGTTGGGCTTTTCATAGTACGAGATGACATTCTTTCTCCAAAAAAAGTACAATAATAATAATAGTAATAATAACAATTATAATGATAATAAAAATAGAAATAATGATAATAATAATAATTGAGCTTGTGATGTATATTCATATTTAAGTCCAAGCTGTCTGTTGTGAAGCCTCTTCTGTTGTTAAATTCGCTGAATGCGCCTTCCGCAAATGCTTTTTGGGGTAAGGGCTTCCCAGCTAGATACTTATGAACAGCAAGCCCAGACCGCAAAAAGATTCGCGAGAGACAGAAGCAGATCGCAGTCAGTCAGTCCGCGGTGCAGCTTTCCTTTTTTTTTTAAAGTCCATCGACATCGAGCAGAGCAGCGACATCATCCAGGTGCCTCCTGCACGGTCTCTCCTTCAATTCCTAATCTCGCGCCGAGTGTGCGCGCGCTTGTGTCCAGACATCGGCGAAGCGAGGGGCACTGAAAGCCTTTTCCGTGCCTGAAGTGTATTCCAACTCATTCACATTCACCGAGCACGGGGTAGGAGGGAGGGTGGGAGGAAGGGGGGGTTGGGGGGTAGGAGGGTAAGAGAGGAGGGGGGGTTTCAGAACGGCCAGCATCCAAATGCCTGTAATCTGCCCGCGAGCGCTGTCCGTGGTGCTGAATTCACTCCCATAGTTTCTTTTCCTCCTATTTCTCCCTCGCTCCTGCCTACCGAGCTGCATCGAATGGATTGGAGCCTCAATAAAAAAATAACAATAAAACAAAAAATACAACACACACATACAGTCAGAAAATCGGCATCGTCTTCCTTTCTCTTTACCCTACGCTTCTTTTTTTGGCGCTGTTGTAAATGCCATACATCCCCCTGGTTCGTGATCTCGTCTCGGCAGAGACCTGAGCAGATAGAGCCGCTGGAGAGTGGAGAGAGGGAGAGAGGGAGAGAGAGTGCTCTGGGTGAGGAGAGAGCAGTCTGTAATCTGCTCGCAATAAATAGAGAGCAGCGAGGGATCTTATTGGACCAAACAAAAATCGTCATCCACCAATCGGTGTCTTGCTCATATAGGGACCCCCCTTTTTGAAAAAAAAGAGAAAAAAACGCGAGAGAGAGTGAGAGTGAGAGAGGGAGACAGAGAGAGCTAGAGAGAGAGAGAGAAAGAGAGAGAGCGGGGGGGGGACGGACCAAATTGTATCCTAGTTGGCGCAAGTGACCAGACAAATTCCGTGTAAGACGGTCTGATTACAGCGAGAGTTTGCTGTTTTTGAGCCCAACGTTATTGTCCAGTCACGTCTCGGAGAGGAGGAGGCTCGTCATGTCAATGTGTTAATGCAGCGTGTGCGCGCGCGCGCGTGTGTTCAAGATTGCAATCGGTATACTGCGGGTCACACACAAAGACAGAGACCTTTTAGAGACCACCGAACCCTAGCCAGTGCTCATCGATAGCAAATGACTATCAACACATACTTTCCCAAACGCCCCCACCCTCCTCCCCATCTACCACCAAAACCACCCCCAATATTGTACATGTAATTCAAGACAGGAGAGCACCACATCGCCCTCCACACGACGACAACAACATGACAGGCTTCTGAAGCAATTTCATTGCATGACCACTGAGAGTTCACTGGCTGATACCACTGAGTGAGGACACGGGGGTCTCTCTCTCTACAAAAAAAAAAAAATAAACAAAAAAAACTACAACATCTCACACTCAGTACATTCCGTAAAGTGGCATTAAAGGTCTATATACATTCACACTCATTATATTGAATGGAATAACTACCTGTTTGTTTTACACTGTAATATTATATTCTATAACAGAACGTCAATTAGTAACGTAACGCAGGTCTGGCACAACAACAAAAACAAAAACAAAACAACAGCGCCAATAACTTGACTCGTTCCTCTCACTGGTCTGTTATTATTATGATTACTTTTCCAGCACCACTGAATCGTGATACACAGAGCAAAATAAAAGTCGTTCAAAGATGGACAGACACGCGTTGCTTCCTTTAGAATAAGAGACCTGCTCTAGCTGGCGTTATTGGTAGCTGAATTGTTTTACTTACCAGGCAAGTTCTGCTCCTATATCCACATCATAGCAATCATTTGTCAAAATGCACCACAAAAGTCTCTGGCAATCCCTTTTTGGAACTCTATGCAAGAAACTGTACTAGGTGGGAGGGTCACGATCTATATCTGGACTCCCCCCCCCTTCTCTCTCAAATACACACACACACACACACGCACACACACACCAGTCTGAACTCATCCCAAACCAAGATCCCCCCTCCCGTCCCTTAATCACTGATATTCTTCTCGTGTCTTCGTTGGTGCAAGGGGAGGTTGAGGTGGCTCAAGGCTAGAGAGAGACAAACGTGCAAATATCTCGCCCAGATGCGACCATTAGGATGGGTTTTATTGGGTGGTCGTTTCATTTGCGGACGTCTCCAGTCAGTCACGATTTCTCCCCCTTCCGTCTGCACCGCACAGCGACTGCATCTCCTGACGCAGCCAACGCGCACATATTACTCACTATAGCAGTCACGACTCGGAGAAATCCGCGCTGCCACTAAAATTACACCGCCGCCGGTGAATTATTGAAGAAGATATCGCTATGTCTGGGCTTTAGGCTGTGCGTTTAAACAAAAGAAAGCCACGCGCTCTTTGAAAAAAGGTCAAGGTAATCGAGATCGAGCTTTTTTTGTGTGTGTGTGTTGTTGTTGTGGCTCTCTTTCCCACGCGAGCGACCACAGTGCTCACACAAACACCACCAGCTCGCCCCATTCCTGTCCATTTTAGCCTTTAGCACTTGACTGTAGGGCTGCGTCGTGGTAAGTGGTCAACAGACATTGCTAAGGCGAATGGAGCTGGAGCACAGAGGAGCACGCCTGCTGGAACGATGCTTTTAGACATACTTAAGACTACTGCAAAACCTCCAGCTCAAGTCGTCTCTGGTCAGCGACCACCCTATCACGACTGCCTTTAAACGAGTGCCTCTTAGGCGAAATTGTTCCTCCCGCTAAAGCGCAGACTTTAGTGCCAGATTTGGGTGAAGTCTGCACGCGCTGCAGGCTTAAAGTTGCACATCTACCACAACAGCGTCCTGGATGGCCAAAGCAGTGCCAGAGCAGTGCCATGCACGCGCAGCTGGGGTGGTGGGTCGCTAAGACTGGGCTGAACAAGCCCAAAGCAAAAAATAAAACAACCAAAAAGCACAAAAACGCATGTGTGGCTGGGCACCAGAGCAAACAAACGTTCAGCTCCGAGGCACGGAAAAAGCCAGTCTGTTGCAGCAGAGTGTGTAACGCAAATGACGTGGGCGGAAGAGTAAAATCCGAGCGAGTCCGCCTGTGGCCACATTGTCTCGAGCCTTAAACTGCACAGAAAACACCCTGTTCAGACCGCACCGAAAACTTAGGCTGTGCGTTTGGAGTTGGCTCTGGAGGAGGAGCACGTTACCGGCGCCGTGATGTCCCTTAAAAGCCGTTTTTTGGGGCGATTTTTAGGGAGGGGGGTCTCAGGTCGAAGCCCTGCACATTCAGTGTTTTCAGCATTCTAGTGTGGTCAGTCTGTGGGTTTCCCTCTCGCCGGCTCTGCTGCAGCTCTCTCTGTCTCTGTCTCTCTCTCTCTCTCTCTCTCTCTCTCTCTCTCTCTCACTTTCTCTTTCTCTCAGTGCCCCTTCTTCTTCCTCATTCACGTCTTTATCTACCGTCCTCTTCACACATACACCTCAACATCAGCCCTTGTTCTTCTGCTCTGAGGGATTTCCATTCGCGAAGTTTCAGCTTGTAGAGAGAAGAGCGAAAAAGAGAGGGAGAAATGGCTCAACAGCGCCGTCAGACAAATGAGTTTGGTGTTGCTTTTTCCCCCCACTGCTTCTCGTGTTTAGCGTTTGAGAGATTTCCTGCTCTAGAGAGAGAGAGGTTGGGTTTATTTTGTGTGCAGCTGAGAGAAACATTCAAAAAAAGCACAAAACATCTACAGTTTGAGTGAAAAAAGGGGCCATGCCACTTGTTTGAAAAGAGACGGACTTGTTTACCCCTCTGCACCGTTTCCGTGGCGGGAATGGCACAGTGTACAAAACGCCTCCACCATCCATGCACCAAAAAAACAAACAAGAAAGAAACATGCAACACATCCAAACACAACATGATAAGCACGCTGAACCAAACATCGCTTTGCATGTGTACTTACCGGTGCAGCGAGCCCTGGCTGAAAGGAGGGAAACACACATACGTACACACGCACACACACACGCACACACATACATCCATATATATTTTAAAGCAGTCAAACGTGACCATATTGCACAAGCACAAAGATGAGAATCAAATGGTGCCTTTGATTCATGGCTAACCTCAGCAACACGTCCAAGGTTTCTCAGAATTGCAGTCCTTTTTATACAAGTGTTACCCCCTCTGCCTATTTCTGGAGCGCGATCAAACACTGATGCTATTTTTAGCTCGCAGTAAGAAAAAAACACTCACAAAGGCATCGCTCAGGAGCGTTACGTGGAGTGCATGCAATGTACATTAATTTTGCCTCTCCAACTCCGTGCAAGGGCTTCGAGTCGCCTCCGTTGCATCGTTGCAGTGATTTTTTTCTCTCTCTTTTTTTTGGTTTAACCAACTGCCTCAATGCCCCCCCACCACCACCTTCCCCTACCACCGACCCTCCTCTCTGTCTGTCTTTTGCCTAAAACAGCCTAGAACTGATCGCTGGAGATCCGTTATGATCTCCTTTGGTGTTTGAGTTTGGTTTGTTCCCGCTCTCCCTCTCCTCTTTATCTCTCTCTCTCTCTCTCTCTCTCTCTCCATTCTCTTCATTACACGCGTCTTACGCGGTGTGTCTCCATGCAACTTTCGCTTGGAAACTCAGGACGGATTCGCTGCTCATGAGAGAGAGATGGAAAAGAAAGAGAGATAACAAGTTGTATTCACAACAAAATTTCAGTGTCTTCATATGTACGTTTACACGCTTAAAAGCAGCCCAAAAGACGCTGCTAATTAAGGCTTGCGGTGTGTTTTTAATTTTTTTCTGCTGGTTGCTGCGTCAGTTACTAGGCATTGACGTCACGTTTAGGTTTTCCCACTGTACTGTCCATGGCTGCTGATTACAGACGGCGCTGCTGCCGCGTCCTCTCAAACACCCATAGATACACGCACAAACACGAACTCTGTAACGAACCAAAAACAGAACCGAGTGAGACTCTAAAACAGGGGTAAGAGGATCTGCCTTGTCTGCTCGTGTTGCTGCTCCAGCGTCTCGGAGCGACCTCCTGTGTAGTAGCTCCTCCACCGTCGCGACAGACTCGTTTAGCCATGGAGGGGCTTGAGTGCAGGGTACACCGTGTATCATAGTCTCAGAGCCCTCACTTTCACTCTTTCGGGGCTTCTTTCGAGCACCAGAACTCGGGGGACACAGCGTGCACGAACCCCATGCTCTTGGAAACTCATTTGCTAAGGAAATTTCCACTAAGAAATCACCACTAAGAGCGGAAACGCAATTCATAAAAACAGTTACACGGAGGTTTCTGCTGGTTTTAATGTTTACTGGCACTGTTTGTGCTACTGTTTCCTATGGAAAGACAAAGGAACGCTGTTTTATGAAAGGGGTGGTGTTTGTTAAACCCACAGTCATTAAAGCTCTCAGTGGCTGACAAATTAGATGCATATGAACCACGCAGCATTTAAAAGGAATAAGAAGCGTTTAAAAAGACAAATTCAACCTGTAAATAAGACACCAGTGCATATCAGCACTAGCTTCTGAACACTCTCTGAGCAGATGGCCGCATGGTGTCGCCAAACGCCGTCTCAGAACTCATTCAGAAACCGGTGTCTTCAACTCTGTGCCCTGTCAGGTAAATAAAAATGTCAGCTAGATGTTTTTTCTTTCCTTTAAATGAGGGTACACAGTAAGGATCAGTCCGACCACGAGCCTACCAATGTATCTCTGTAACATTACTCATACGTCTATACAATTCAGAGCGAGCGTAATTACATACAGCATTTCAACAGTTGATATAGAAGTGATAAAGACAACAGGTTCTACATGGAAAACTTTTGCCATGCTGTAAAAGTTTTGATATGATTTATATGCTACGTGTCCAAAAGTCCAGACACCCCATTATAAGTGAATTGAGCTACTCTATGGAGTGCATGGCTGAGGCATTAAGCTGCACATGAACCGTTTTCCACAGAAAAGCATTGCCAATAGAATGGGATGCTCTGGAGCAGCCACTCATGAGCTTAAGGTCATGATGCTCAGTGGCAAATGTCAGCTAGAGGAGTGTAAATCCCCCAGCATTTGGGTTGCAGAGCAGTGAAACTGCGCTGTTGGAAGTGATGGAGCTCCATCCAATACCTTTACGACGAGTTAGAGTGTTGTTTGTGATAAGTAACATCAGTACCTGCCCTCACTAATGGTCTTGTGGCTAAATGCAATCAAATCCTCACAGCAAAGAAGAGTTGAGGGTGTTACTGCAGAAGAGAGGAGACAAGCTCCCTACTAATAGCCTTGATTACAGAAGAAATGCTGGATGTGTTCACAAACGTTTGGACATCAATAAATACAGTACTCATAAGGAAAGCCATAAACTACGGTTTCAAATTTCAGTAGTCTGTGTTATATTTTGTGAAAATGTGAGCAGCTATACTTAATAGTGAGTGCCCATGAGTGAATGGACAGGGTAGGACCAGCTCTGTATGTTTCAACTAAAAATGGATGAACAAATCTGTTCTACGTCCAAAAACAAGACATCTTTAGCCTCAGACTTTGAATGAGCTCTGCAATAGTAACACCAAAAAAAGAGAAGAGTGATGATGTTGATGTAGCAATGAAGCTAGACTTTCCCCACTCACCACTGAAGCTAAAAATATCACAAATTCGGCTGACTCTGGGCTGGAAGTCGCTCAAAGCATCTCCTGATTTAACCTACTGTGCCTCAGCTCCAATAAAAAAGAGCAAAGCTCGTGGTTCCAATAGGCACCTGGGACGTTAAGTGAAAATCACAGCCACGCACTGAACAACACTTCAATCATTTCTTTGCACTGCCTCACTGTTGGTGATCATCTGTAACTTTGGAATGTCAGTGCAAAAGCATTTTTTTAAATTTTGTGCAACATGTATCAAGAAAGGGACAAGCAGTGTCTTCATGCTCCAGTGAGTCTGGAAACCTCCCTTGTGTTTGGAGTCTTTTCTGAGAAATCTGTTACTGTGGGGCCAAAGACTCCCCTCTACCCACCAGCTCTATTTCTTGCATAAGGCTTCAGAACAAAATACCATCATAACAGCTTTGACAATTCATGGTGTATGTACATGATGATCACACAGACTGTGACTACGCCTATCTGGAGTAATAATAACATGAAACGTCTTTGGTTGTTAAAAGGCACCGTTCCAGCAGCACAAACAGCACCACACCCTGACTGATTTCTGCCACTCAAATGAGATTTCAGCACCACGGACAGCACCATAACATCAGAAAAATAGGATCTCACCACACTTTTAACCATGCCATAATGTTATCTTCCAAATACTTTACAGGTACAAAAGGTTGCAGATACATGCTCATCCAACAAATCTTCAGAAATCAAGTGTACATTCTTAGAAAAGATGGTTCTTCAAGGGTTCTTTAGTAATGAAAATGGTTCCTTATAGAACCATGAACACTCAAAGATCCCATTGCATGATTAAAGGTGAAATGGTTCTTCAGATTGATGGAGAATGTGTTGTATATGGTTCTATATAGGGTTCCACTATTGTTACAAGCCAAAAAAAACTTTTTGGTACTACATAGCACCCTTTTTGATAAACATGTATTAATAGTAAGTTTCTCCTCCTTTGCTGCCTCTAGAAAGGCTTTACACAATATTTTGGAAGATTGCTGTGAGGATTTGATTGCATTCAGCCACAAGAGCATTAGTGAGGTCAGGTACTGATATTGAATGATTAGTTCTGGATCACAGACACCACTCCAACTCATCCTAAAGGTACTGGATGGGGCACCACCACTCCAGACTGTGCTCCACAACCCAGTTCTGGAGGGTATTTATACCCCTCTAGCTGATATTTGGCATTGAGCATTGTGACCTTATGCTTATGTGCAACTGCAGAGCATCCCATTCTACTGGCAATGCTTTTCTATGGAGATTATACAAGCTGTGAGTGCACGTGAACCTCTGCGTCAGCAATGGGTGCACCTTAACATAGCTAAATTCACTAAAAAGGATACAGTAAAAAGTTTCTGGGTACTATTGGACATATAGTGTATATTACAATATCATGGCATAAGATGATATTTTTATTTACAGTAAGGTTAATGACTCATGCTTTCGAAGTAGTGGTACTCTATGCTAAAAGAATATCAAGTCAAGTCAAAGTTTATTTATATAGCGCTTTTTACAACAGGCATTGTCAGAAAGCAGCTTTACAGAAAAATCCAGGTTCAAGGCCCCCATGAGCATGTCAAGGGCAACAGTGGCAAGAAAAATCTCTCTAAGAGCAAGAGGAAGAAACCTTGAGAGGAGCCAAGACTCAAAAGGGGAACCCATCCTCCTCTGGTCGACACCAGATAGCAAAACAATAACACAACACCAATAGAAACAAAAATAAGGGTTTACCATTAGTATAAAATATTTACAAAAATATTTTACAAATCTGACAAAGCTTGCTATGATTTAACAAATTACACCAAAGGGACCCTGACATTCCCTATTTCTACTGATTTTACAACAAGGACTTTATCAGTTTGTGGAATATAATGTTATCATGGATGTAATGCTTATTAACTTTGAATACTCCAAAAATTAAATCAAATTTGATGTACAAACCCAATTCTGGTATATCATTACAGACAATAAATCTAATTTAATCTGAACTTTCATTTATATGTCTCAAAACTTTGATTTGGATGAGCATGTATTACCATAAATTAAAAATGGTGCCAAAAGGATTTTTTGGTGCTTTGCTTTGGTGTGAGGCCATAACCACTTTTGTTTCCAAAAGGGCCGTTGTTTGTGAGATGTGTGAGACGTTTTAGAAAAACTTAACATAATGTAAAGTTGGTAAATGTTTATATAATTAAATGGTTGAAGTGTAAACAGTCATTTTGAGTGGTTTGATATGAAAACTGCCTCTGATTTTTTTTTTACCATGGTGGTGATAGGAGCCAGGGATCATGCAACACAAATATAGCCAATTTATTTATTGTCCAAAATGACCAGTGAACCCACATGTGTCTTCTGAGTTTTTATACGTAACGGTACATACGTATTTTTGAGTTTTTATAACGGTAAAATAGTGGTAAATATGCAAAAATAAGTTTTCTTTGGTTAATACTTTGCCTTACAACATGCTGCATGCACTTCCCCTCCATGAATGGATTTTAAAATATATGTTTAAATGTCTGTATGGGTAGCATTAAATACCTCAGACGTGTGCCACCACCACTCTGAACAATTCTGACTCTGTACGTTTTCCGGAAACCACTCTAAATGACTTTGTTTCCATCTAAACTGTTTAATTATGCAGAAATTTTGAGACACTGGTGAATTTCCCAAAGAAATCACATGTACAAGCAAAGAACTATGTACTAGTACTAGGAACCTTCGTTTTATGAGAAAACACTTCGCAGCACACACTCCCCACA